AACACTTCTCTTCCTCTTCAGGGAATACCTGCTGTTTGGACTCAAAATCCCAAAGGTGAGATGACATTCTTTTACCTTTTTTTTTTTTTTTTGTGTTGATGTAGTGTAGATAAATGAAAGGAATCTGAAAGAATTACTGTGACTTCTTTAATGCATATGAAGAAAAAAATGTCTGCATAAGGCAGGCGGGCTTCAATGTCAGTCTTAGTGTAACCGATGTGAGGCTTTAAAGGAGACAGAGATAAAGAGAAGGAGATCACTTTTAACCTAAGTCAAGAATTTCTATTTATTGAAGAGGGGAGTAATTGCCCTTGTGTGTTCAAAGAGTATAGATGTTTTGAGAGTGGAAAAAAAAATAATTGCGTGAGTTAATTCTTATCAAAGCCTGTTGGAGTGCAACTAATCGACTGAGGGGAGATGCGTCAAATAGCTGTTGCATTCAGTTCATTTTGTCTATTCAGATGAGAAAATATTTAGTTTTCAATTAAATAAATCACTATTATTTGTTCCACTCCTGCAGCAGATAAATTGAAGTGATTACACACTGACTTGAAAATCCACAGAGGGCTCTTCCAGGTCAAATAAAAGAGAGTATTGGACGCAATGTGGCACAGAGCCACAGCACGGCCTACAGACTGAATCCCAGACTGTCCCTGAGATTGACTTATAACAAGAGTATAGCACTATCTCTATGGAGGATTACACGTTTATACTCCACTGTAACTTATCTGAACAAACAAATTCACATTGGTTATTGAGATTCATTTATTGTGACATTCTTATAAGACCATGTCTTTTAACACCTCAACAAGTCATAAGGCTTTTACACCCGAATATGAGGTCTTCTTCTCTACTGACTCTAATGTTCAGGAATAACTCACAGAATTGTTATCCCAAATAGAATATGCTACTTTCAGGAACTTTTCAAACTTGCACAAATCTCAGGGGAGCCCACTATATTGTCAAGTGTGCATAAGGCACCAACATTACAGTATCTAAAGTACAGAATGAGACGCTGTCAAAACACCTCTCTGCATGTCAATTGTTTTAAAAATATTTTGAATAAATGTCTGCTGTTTTGTTGTCTTTACCACGTAATAGTTTACAGTTTTCCATGAAGCCACTGGTTTCCATCCATTCAATTGGATTTTGGGAATGGACTCATTGAGACGTGGCTCTCTTTTGTTGAGGAAAATATATTTCTATTTCATGCTTTCTGACTGCTAGAGGCAGTTCTTAACACTGTATAATATCTGTCTCGTGGCCGCACAGGTAGAGTATTTAATATCAACAAAGTCACATGTGACATGAGAGACGTTCCTACAGAATCTTCTCGCCAAGACTCTGAGTGACAGAGAACACTAGCGGTCATCCACAATTCATAGAACCGGAGTTACATACGTAACTCTCGATTTGTAGTTTCTCAGGGTTTACAGGAGCTCATTCTCCTTCAGCTACTCCTAAATGATTGTAGTTAAGAAAAGACAGAAGAAAACAATAGTGTATTCATTACAACATGAAAGACAAAAAGTATCCCAAAAATGTAACATATGTGTCACAAAGCTACTCGGCCTGCTTTGTAAAATTGATTTAGTAAAGAAATACATTTAATATGCATTAAAGCATTTTAAAGTGACCTCTCTTGGGTTTTCATTGCATGCTAATAAACTAATGATGGACTGCTTAATCTACATACAGTATAATCTATATTGGTAGATTTATTGATTGGAAAATTCTGCTTTAATGGAGGTAATCATCTGCTTTTAAGAAGCTACTGAGCCTTTGAGATTGAATTCTTAAGTTCATGGTAAACATAATTTAAAACAAGAAAAACAAGCATATAAGACTTATTTTAATTTGATACTTCTTCTGTACTCCAGCATGAAGTCAAATGTCTATAAAAGCACATGCCCTCTGTAGTCATCATTTAGGTGACATTAGGTTTATTCTTTGTGTTTCTTTCACCGGGGTTTCCTTTTTTTTTGTTCTTTGCTTGTTCCAGGATTGTGGAAGGTCGGGTGTCAGCGGTGAAATGGACTTCTTGTCAGCATGGATTATGTCTCCTTCAACTCTACCCTTTCTGTGCCTCATCTGGAGTAAGAGAATCAAATGTCACAATGAAGCTATCTTTTCAGTAACTGTGCCCCGTTCAAGGCCCATCTGTGTTGTGTGGAACCTTGAGTTTATTGAAGCTTTATTTAAATGTTTACTATGACCTAACGGCTGCTTTTGTGTACCTGCACCATTCTCCTGTACCTGGCTCTTTCTCAAGTCCTAAAGGTTAACAAAGTAGCGTGTGATGTTAATGTGAGTCAGTTAAAATAACCTGGTTAATCTCATTACAACCTTTAAATCTTATACGAGGAGATCTTGTTTAACTGGGTGTACTGCAGCATCAATGAGCTAACTGTTGCATCTACTTATCTTCATCTACCAACCCCCCCCCACTTCAATCTTTCAGCGTCTGGGTATATCAGATGTTAGATAGCAAATCAAAGCTGTTAACAGAACCAAATATGAACAGTGTTTATGATAGGGGGAAAAACAGCTACATCTCTTCACTGTTTTATGTCGTTTAATATGTTCCCAGTGAACACAACCTAAGCTGCAAAGAAATATTTTCTTAAACCATTTATTCATGCTACCAGGGGAGTACAGTCCCAGGGTATAAGTGTTTGATGTAAATAATTTAATCCAAACACTGCCTCAAATGTTTTAAAGCCAATAGGGTTACTGCTCGTGACCATGGTGCCTTTTTACCACCAGGTTGTTGTTTGGCTGTTTACTTCAAGGTAAATCTTTCCAGTGTAAGCGGTATGATGCTGTGCGTTATCCTTGACAGCATATTTCCCTCCTATTTTTTTCCCTCTGGCATCAGATTTAAAAAAATGAACAACACCGAGATCTTTTCAATTCTGCTCCTGAATAATTCACTGGCTTTAATCCTAGAATGAAATTAGAGGAATATAGTGGACAAAATTAGTCGACATTTAATCATTTGTGTTTCTTCTTAATGACCGAAGAAGATGTTTCTTTAAACAAGCTGACATGAACCAGTACCTTTAAATAACCCAGGTTCATAAGTGTGCCAGCTAATGCTACTGTTAATAATGAATGTAAGAGTGAGGCTTCACAATCATTGCATACGAATGTTATGTCGACGTCCACTCTTGAATAAAGAATGGAAATCACTGTGACAGGTCGTAGCAGAGAGGCATGCAGGTGTGATTAATGACATTAATTAATGATGGCTGTGTTCCATTTTGGTGTTGCAGACTTGCACCTTGATATTGTGTATGCTTGCTTACCTTACTGGCTAACTGGGGCACTGAAATGGAACGTAGCAGTCATTGGTGTTCTTACTTAAACTTGTGCAATAAAAAGTCTGCACTGAAATCAGTCAGTTTGTTCAAATATTCATGCTGACTGCCTTTCCTCAAAGCAGTAGAAATGTATATTTTCATTTCATCTGTTGGTGAAATGATTGTCATGTGAAAGGATATGATCCAAGTGATAAACTCACAGGAAACAACCACCTGTCTCCAGAAACTATCTGACTTTTACTGGCCAAAAACCAGGAATATATATGAGTTATGAGTGGCAAAAGGAAGGATGATTCAGCAGTATGAGGCATTGACATCATCATTTAGCAGCCTTACTGAGCGAGGAGGGTGGTGAAAAGGGAGCACAAGCAGGAAGCAACAAAAACCTGAGTTTTAAAAAGTACTCTCTCTGGGGCGCTGGTGGACTAACGGTTAGTTTGCTCGCCCATGTACAGAGGCTGTAGTCCTCGAGGCGGGCGGTACAGGTTAGAGTCCAGCCTGTGGATCCTTTCCCCCATGTCATTCCCTACTCTCTCTGTCCCTGATTTCCGACTTTATCCACTATCCTATCTCGACAATAAAGGCATGAATCTTTAAAAAGCAATATGTTCTCTCAGTCATGCTAAAATGAAGGCCTATAGAAGCACAAGTTGTAATTAAGTCAATAAACAGACTCATTAACAGCTATACATTAATATATAATTCTGCAAACATTAGCAAACCCTGTTAGCTTTTAACATAAAACCCCTGGATGTAAAAAAAATGTGAGGGTTTGATTCTTGCTTGTATAAGCATGTTGTAGTAGGAAGCGTGTGTTATTCATTTAAAGGTTACATACTCTCTTTTTTAGGACACTAAAGCCTATCACTGGATATTTATATGGTGTTCTTTTTTATTTTCTTATCTCACAATCCTACATTTCAGCAGCCCCCCGTAGATCACTGTTGGGTATTCATTTATGTAAACTGTATGCAAATGTGCTCCTGTGTTTGGTTGTTTGTATGCATCCACTGTAATGGCCAATCTTGCCCTTCATTTTTGACGTGAGGTGACTGGTTCAGCCTTGATCTGAGAGCTCTGCCTCTCACTCATGTTGTCAGGCGCAACAGAGCATGCACTTCACAAACAACTTGGTCATTGCTTCAATGAAGGTCAAGATTCAAACAGCCGAGTGGAGTCAGCCAGGCTTCTCTGTGGGGCATTGTTTAAACAAGATCCTCACTTAGATATTAGGCTTTAATTGGAGTATGCAGTTGGTTGCATTTGGCTCCTTGAACTGAATTTATTCATAAACCCCCATGTATAATAATCATATAATCCTAGCCCCAATATTAGAGGCTCAGGGGTGGTCTGCTGTAAGGTTACCTTTCTGAGTCAAGTGCACCGCACCACAGAATGTCACCTAGAGCCTGGTTAAAGGATGGCCGACCCCACCTATGAAAAACAAGGGGGATTAAAGTGATAATCATTACTCTTCCCAGGAGGAATTAGCTGGTGGGACATCGACATTGAAGAAAAACCGCAGGTGAACGAGGTCTCTGATACCCCATGTTTTTTCCTCCTCCCAATACCCTATCTGCAAGGCAGAGGGGGGGATTTAATTCGCAGTAATTACTTTATTGACTCATTTTCAGGGCCGTATCACTACAGCTTCCCATCAATAAAACATATGCCAGGATGAATAATGTGGCCAGACTCCATGGGGTGCCCTCTCAGACCAAAGACCACAAGACTGTTTCCCTGTGGTGTATGTTTATGTCATGCTCCCACTACTCCCTTTTAATTCCTCTGCAGACATACTCATCTCTTGTTCCCCCCCCCCAAACGCTTTACATTTGATCCCTTGACACCCTTCTCACTCCTCTTCTCCCGTTATATCTCCAGGCACGCAGGCCCAGCAGGCCTTCAGGTCTGAGCCCCGGAACCTGACCGTGCGGATGGGAGCCACAGCTGTGCTGAGGTGTGAGGTGCTGCGGGCCTCAGGGACTGTGCAGTGGGTGAAAGATGGCCTCCTCCTGGGACCTCAGAGAAGCCTGCCAGGCTTTCCACGCTACAGCATGATTGGAAACCCCAAGAGAGGTAAACAGTGACACTCATGGAATAAGGTCTGTGGCCACCTGGGTTTTGATGGAACTTTTGAAGCAAAATAAATAAACACGTTTGATACAATTATCACAAAAAAACATTCTTCAGAATGTATCTTCATAACTTGCCCTATAGTAGAGTTAGAATTGCTTTTATGGGTTTAGCAGAGAATAAAAAAATCACTAAAATATGATCGATCAGAGTGAGAGTGTAGATCATAAAACACTGGCATAATGACAGTTTAACCAGTAATTGAGCTTAAACATGCTGAAAGAATTTAAAAGGACAAAGGAGAATGTTATGAGACATAATTATGTTCTGCTAACAAAAGATTTTACCTATAGATTTCTTTATTTTCCTCAGACATATAGGCCATATGGTTAACAGTAATTACAGAGTGCTGGTGTCACTTCGGGAAATGTTGAATATACAGCATGTCGGCTACTCTAAAAGTAAATGAGATGATGTTGATGCTATGACTTCAAAGTGCTGTAATAAAGCAACACAGGCAGTTCGAGAATCTTATGGCACACACATTCTCTCCATAGAGGGAGCATCTGGGACAGACGAGGTGATGTGATCGTCAACACCCTCACACATAACCCCCCCCCCCTGCTGTCACTCACATGTTAAGAAGATAAAAAAAAAAGATATTAAAGCAACAGAGTGTCAGCAAATCAGTGAAATGTGGCAGGGAATAAAGTGTGTTGCAGAATCTGCACCACAGTCTATAAAAAGTAATAGCCAATTAGAAGGCAATCCCGTGTAAGGGAAGAGCATCTGTTCCTGATCAGCCTTCTACGAGACAAGCCGCTTTTCACTGTTGCACAGTGTGGGAGACCACCAGCAACACATTAACCCCTCAAAGATGCAAAGATGCCCACACAGTGTGCATGCTAGCTTATGCCCGGTGTTTACATAAAACTTTGGAAAACAACACAGTGAAATGTTGTTTGTCAGCTGATAAGTTGTCAGTGAGCAAATAAAATTTCATGAAGCATGAGAGCAGATCAAAGGTTAATAAAACCTTTTTACATGAACAACAAAATAAAAATATATACAGCATATGCATGAACAGAAGGGAAACAAACGCACACAAGCTGCCAAGCCCTGAAACATGCACTCATGAATAAAGTACCCATCAGTACAGGTACACTTTACTGGGAGAAGAAATTGCAGACCGCACACTGATGTATGCAATCACTTTACACTGCACAAAAAGAGCAAAATCATTTAAGATGACTCTTGACTGCACTTGATACTCCACCACTTTTCACTGATTGTAACCATCAGCAATGCTTAAAAAAAGGGAGATTTCACTCATTCACACAAAACACAGGGGAGTCAGGCGCTGATTCCAGCAGGTATTTATAGTCACCTCATCAGTTTACCCGACAAAGAGCGATACAAAAACATGTAGGTGACAAGCAATTGTGTGCGACAATGTGAATTGTAAAGACACACAGACAATTGAATAAAACGGCTTTGTTCAAGGCACACAACATTAAGCCAGTGTTTATTTATTTTCAGTGATTGGTCCTCGATGTGTTGTTTAATTTAGATCATGGAATGCAGCCAGTTAATCAAGTAAAATGAACACTTTGGTCACATTACTACACATCCTCTGAAAGTGTTGAATAAAGTGAATATCAACTGACTAATAAAACATTCTAAAAAATGTAATCCATAATTGTCCATAAGTATTGAAGAAAAGCTTCCTGTTCGTGTTATGATATCTTTGCAAATGAGGTTATCTATTTGAATGAATCTATGAAACATGATAAAGACCTGTCAGTAGGTTGACACCTGTCTTCACATTGTGAAGATAATTCTATTCTTAATATGAAGCCTGTAGAGCATTCCTTGTGCTTTGAATCACTTTGTACCAGCTGTAATAAGGTAGCTCTGTACACAACACTTTAAGGATTTCTGAATGGGTGCTTGACCTTGTCAACAGTCTCAAACTGTGGAAACAACTTCTCTGACATGCCTCCAGTTTTATTATCGTTTTTATTTTAGATCAACAAGGAGGACCTAATGTTCATATTAGTGGCTAACGGAAACATTGTAAAACATTGTCCAAGAATCTGCACCAATTATTATTCTCTCCATTTGTCTCAAACTTCGCCTAATAACAATGTGCATTTTCAGCACTTAGACCAATACAAAAATGCAGATTCACAGAGAGGACAACATACTGTGCCTAATTGCTATATAGATGTACTCTATATCTCAACATTTGGAAGGCCCTTGCTGAAATAAATACACAGTAATGGACAAAGAGGCAAATCATGAAGCAGCCATCCACCATCTCCCCTACCATAAATACACACTCTCTGCAGCTTGATTGCACTATTTGTGAGTAATTTCAGGAAAGAGGAATATGATTAATAACTTCAATGTCTCTCTCTCTCTCTGCACTCAATGATAACTTAGATGTGAAAATTGCTTCTGGTTGGTGTTAATTATCTTGCCAGCTTAGTTGACACGTGCATTTTTAGGCCTGGGTGCTTGTCAGACCAAGATACTATTTTGCACATGTTAGTAGGCTGTGAGCCAGAGAATCAGGAGCTCGAGAACCAACACTGAACATCATCTAATCCCCATAGGTTATGGCAGTGCATCAAACAAATCACGGCCCTGTTGGCATGCCAGACTATCAGAAGAGAGATAGAGAGGGAAGGACTGTGTCTGGCGTCAATTAATAGACAGTTTATTCAGTCTGTGTTGTGAATCTGGGATTGGATTTCATTTACCGTACAGGAAATTCATTCTGAAACAAAATGTCTCTGCAAGGGCGATAGACAACCACTTGCATGTCAATGAAAATGCCTGCAGCAGGAGGTTCTCAGCAAGTGAGATGTTTTCATTTTACACAAATACAAAAATAGTCCATTTATCATCAAATCAAACAGCCAAACACCAGAACTAGAGAATATTACCTTGTTGAATTGAAATGCCAGAATGTCATTGTACAAATTGCTTTTATTGTTAATTTTTCTATTTCCCAAGTTGAAAATTGCCTCTAAATCAGACACTCTAAAATCAACAAAGGAGAAATAGAGCCTGCAGGAGGTACTTATCGATACACATGCAACAACTCAGAACAGAGAGAGTTTTAATAAGTGGGCTGTAAGGAAAAATTAAAACCTTCTTCTTGATAATTACTCAGAAGTATTTACTGAGCACATCTCACTATAATGACATAATGTGTATCAAAAACAATTACAACTCTTGCTCTCTTTACTCCAGGGCAGAATCACCTTCAGATCGAAAAGGCTCAACTGGAAGATGAAGCCTTCTATGAATGTCAAGCAGGACAATCGGAAAGCAGTCTGGCCATCATTTCCAACACGGCCTTGGTCAACGTGTTAAGTGAGCAAAACCCCACAGTTTGCAAACAGAGGGGATGAAGGAGCTTTCAATAAAGTTAAATAAAGTTAAAAAAATGAACAACCTCAGTACTCCTGTAACATACACAACCTTTTGACCGGTAATCAGCATATAAAGAGCTGTTACATATTCATTTCTATTGATAAAAAAACTGTCATTTGCTTAAGATGACGTATTTGCATCCGAAAGCGCCAACACTTCAATTTCGAAACTAAATTTAAAGAGTCCTAGTTACGGTTGAGCTAAGCGCTTTCCTTCAAGCCCAAATCACATTTGAATCAAGTGTGAAGCATGAAGAAAGTCCCAATTTTTCCAACTTTTCAAACAAAATGTATTTCTTATGTCGTCCCTACATGTTCCAATAGGTCTGTGGCTTTAACCAGCAGCTGCACAATATAAAGTATAAGCAGAGCTTGGATTCCCTGGCAGCCTCAGGGTGATCCATGTCTCTCCCTTGCACAGGAATATATTATAACACAAGTGATTGAAAAGTTCTTACTCAGACATGCTGGAATAGATGTAATTGTGCGACTACATTAGACCACCTGTTGTCACTCTGTTGCACTGGCTATCTCTCTCTCTCTCCCTGTCCCTCTTCCTTGTGGGAGCAAGCCCATATGTGGCAAGGAAAGGACTCTAAAGAACCTTTCTTCTCCAGGCGCACTTCAACAACCCCCCCTCCTGTCTCTCTCTCTCTATTCCTCGCTTTAAGGCTTTCTCTTTGGTGACCATGGAGAGGGGAGGTTGCCGTGGCGATCCTTGCGGCCAGACTCCTCTGGGAAGAGAGCAGGTTTTTCTGACATCAATGAGGCAGTGGGAGGGATGGCGGGCGGTGTGGGATGGGAGGAAGCACAGACCACTGACGTCTCCCTTTTATTGGCTATGTTCTCCTCTGTGCTGCAGCAGCCTCATGTCCTACAGCAGGCCTACACCTGCAGCCACAGCAGGCTCGACTCCCACATTTATTACCTCTTCAATGCCAACAGCATGTGCGCCCACATACACAAAGTCAACACAATTGCTTCTGGCTTTGTTGAAAAGGTCAAAATGTGTGGGAATTCTGCTCGTGTTGCATCAGGGGTTGCTGGTATTTGTATTTGCTGTGACTGAAACCAACTGCTGCCCCATGTTCCTGACATGCTCAGATCCGAATCCTCTTAGCCGGTGTGTTTGTTCAGTATCTTGGGAACACTTCCCAGCTGTTGTCTGTTGAAGACGGACAGTTGCAGGTGTACTGTTGCAAAGGGCAGCAAAGAGTGGAAGCCGCTGACTTAAAAAGCACTCCACAGCCTTGGTCCTAAAGGGTCATTTGTTCCAGCCCACCAACCCAACTGATTTAAAATATGTGACTAATCCGGGCTTTATAACGAGCTGATGAATTCAATCTTCTGTTAGTGCTGATCTGGGAATGGAAACCGTGCATCCTTTTGAAGAGTACTGCCTCTGATGAGTTCCCTGCGGACTTCTCCATCACTGAACTACAGCTCCCAGGGCCCCACACCCCCCCTGGCCACTCAACCATGGATGTAGCCCATCAAGCCCTGCATCAAATCAAAACACCATAAAACTCTTTATGAGGAGATGCGGCAGGGGGAGAGGGGAGGTATGTGAAAACAAAACAGAGATTGCTGGTCAAATAATTGGATTCTCAGGTCAGAGGGAGTGCTATCATGACCGGCTAATTCAAGATGGATCACCACAGGCAGGGAGTAACAGGGATGGAGGCACAAAATGTCAATAAGCCCCATCCATGGGCTTACAAAGAGATGTTTTCAAGACATTTCCATTGGTGCTACATAACTCCTGTGTGTTTTTGCCTTCCTGCAGAGCTTAGATAGGGGATTACTGCAATAGGCAGATCAAGTGGCAGTGAGTAATCCATGACAATAACAACCTCTACTCTCTCTGCTGGAGCCCCCCTCCTCTGCCTAAAACTTACTCCGCACTGTGCCCGTCACATACCTGACACATCCTGTGTCTCGGTTTATACCATTAGCCTTAGCATTTAATCCTATTAATGAACAACTCTCTCCCTCACCGCAGTGCGTGCCCGTACAGATGCCCCCTGCTAATGTTCAAAACAGTCATCTGATGTGTTCTGGTTTTAGACTGCGTTACTCATTCAGTCGGGTCTTACAGAGGTAGGTATGTGCGCGCCTGTGCCTATGTGTGTAAGCTTATTACCAGCGTTGGTTGGAGGTTAGAGGACATTTTAGGAAACAGAGCTCTGGTGAGGTTTTTTTGCGGTAGCTAATGAGTTTAGCACTTGAAGAGTATATAATGAGCCTTCATTTTGTGATTCCCTGTTATGAATAATGGAACAACTTATAAATGGGGGCACAAGCAACATAGAACACGGCGACTTTCTTCATCTTCATTCAGCAAAAGTTCTGACAGTTGCCCGAGCTACAACCCCCATCCGAGGACAATGTGTTATATACAGTAGTAAGACAGCGTGTGTATAACAGTGCCACACAGTGCCAGACCAGTATGACAGTATCAGTGAGTTAACAAAGGAGGCTCGGCTAAATAGTAAAAGGAGACACTAAAGGGACAAATTAAATAGTCTTTCTCTTCATAAATAGGAATGTATCTGTTATATAATGGACCCCAAAAAAAAAGGAGAAACAGTAGTAATGGGTCAGGGAGGAGTATTTGTGTGTTGGCAGGTTAGGGTGTGAGGGTGAGGGAGGGGGTGTTGCGCCACTTCTCCCCCAGGGCAGAGGAGACGCAGGCGGGAAGAGGGAGACAAAGAGGAAGGGAGAGCTGACAAAAAAAAACTCTTTTAGAGGCTTTCATCGCCAGAGATCACACACCTGAGACCTGCAATGTGTGTCTCTGTGTGTGTGTGTGTGTGTGTGTGTGTGTGTGTGTGTGTGTGTGTGTGTGTGTGTGAGGGAGCGTGTCAGTTTTTTATGCACATCTGAGTGTAAAAATACATCCCTGTGCATGCTCATGTGCCTATTTTGGACTCTCGCTTATCTCTTTCTTCCATAGATAAAACTGATAAGTCTGTCTGCTGTTGAGAAGTCTGATCTTCTGGTCTGTTTAATTTCTTAATTCGTCATAATAAGCTTTTTAGAGACTATCATATCCTCTGGGCCTTTTGCAATCATTTCCAGAGAGTCAGCTTGGTATCACATGTTGGACTGCACACACACTGGCGCTTGTTTTTGAGAGTGAAGCGAGATGAATGTAGCCTGTCTGCACATTCACTCACTCGCCTGTGTGTTTGTGCGTGCAAATCTGCACGCACTGTATAGACTTGAGTTTATCTCAGGGTGTTTGCGAGCAAAGGAGAAAAAGCGAGTGTGTGCATCTGTATGTGAATGAGAGAGAAAGCGAGATAGGTGGAAAGAGCTGCTTATGCATATTGATGTGTGTCTGCTAATCTGCTTCTTATCTGTTTTATCCATCCATCCATCTGTATTTGTCTAATGAATCGAATTTTGCGGCTCACTGTTTCACGAATGAACGGCAGGAGCGAGTCCTTGCATGCTTGTCTGTTTTGTGTTCATATACAGTATGTTCCTAATAAGAGAGATAGGGCTACAAATGAGAGGGAAACGGAGAGAGATAGAAGGCAAAATGAAAAAATCCGACAGCCAAGTAGACAAAGGAGGGGCAGAAAGAGTTAATTAAGGGAACGGCTTGTTTGCTGTCTGTTCCTTGCTCTGAGTGCATGTCTAGTAAATTGAATAGAATGTGTGTTTCCGTTGTTGTCCGCTTGTGCTATCACATTTGTACAAATGTGTGTGTGCGTCTAAGTTCATCCTGAGCGGGCTGATTGGGTCACATGGTTTTCAGATGTGATGGATGGCAGGTTGTAATTCCCAGTCTGAGATGTAACACACCTTCCCCCGCACTTCTGCAGTTTAACTGCAGTGGTCAAGAAGGATGGCGCAGTGGGGAGAGAGGGCTGCTAGAGAGGGATGATGGAGTGAACGAGAGATAAAAGGAACAGGCCAGCATGAGCGAGCGAGGGAAAAATTAGATACCTGCCTGCCTCATTTGCGAACATATCATTATTCTTATTTTAGGATTTGTTAGGCTGCCAGACGCTCCCCAAGCACAACAAGTGGTGCGTCTCTGTGAGTCGTGCGGGCCCAAGTAGATTGAGAGTGCCGGGGCTGTCAATAGATGCATGGCCCAGTCATCTTCTCAGGGAAGAGTGGGGGGAAAAAAACAAACAAATGCATCTCATTATTGCAGCGCGCGCCTCTGCAGTGCTCTGGGTAACCCATCACAGTCCACACAGATTCAATTGCTTCTTTTAAATCAGTTTGAAGCTGCAGCCACATCTCATCTGTCTCAATAGAAGACTGGAGCCAATGGGCGACTCTGCACACAGCAATAGCTCCTCCTAGTGGTCGGGGATTGTTTGTTTTGTGCCAAAGAGATGGAGAGGAGCTGTATGGCTGGCTGCTTTGGCTGCTTGTGGTCCAGCTGTTTACCCAAACATTAGCGGATTTATCTCAGAATTCAGCAGCAGCTATCTTGGTGCCCCTGCTCCCTTCTGCAGCTTGTCTCACACTCACTTTCAATTCTTGCCAGATCTCTTTTCTTCTGTGCCAGTCTTTCATGTCTTCCTCCACATGTAACCATCTCGCAAACATGTATCCATCCTGTTCTTTCCAGCTCCCCGTTCTGTATCTGTGCTCAGGCAGCCTTTGCACTTGATCTTTGATGAAAGACAAACAACCTGAACGGTAACCATAGTTTCTGATTCTTTGGGCTCACTCACTTGCTGAAGGCTGGCACAATACACGACCAGGTTTCTGTAGTTTGTGTGTGCATGATTGAACCGACAGTCTACGTAAAGAGTGGCTCAGAAATCTCTTTGATGATTAGTTGGTGACAGATTTCTCCAGTTACTGCCAAACAGTTTCAAGTCCCTTGTGTTAAAAGCTATGTTTTTTTTCCTGGAATTCCTATTTATGGTCAGATAAAAGGATTGTGGAGTAGAACAGTGGAGAAGTGAAGACGGCTTTGATCAGTCCAGAAAGCACATATTTAGCTTGGGGCTGATCTGAGAAGAAAAGTGTTTGGTGTTTGCTATGATAGATTAGCACTGGATCGGTTTCATCACTATTTCATCCCTGAATTCGCTTCTTGTCCACAATTTGTATTCTAACTCAACAGAACATCAAACCTCACTGTTGTAAATCACTCAAACGCTGACAGCATGACGTTCCAGTCACTCCCAAATCTTACAGGGGCCTATTATCATATCATTGCATAAACTAATATCCATCTGTGAGAGAGACTGCTTCCACTAACCCAAAATTAGTTTGATGAATATGAGAGGTGATTAATCTGAAACGTGAGCTGTTTCTTTTATTCCTCAGTTCCTCCTTCCAGGCCATATTTTGAGGTGGACATGGCAACACCTTGGGTGGCAGGCAAAAAGTACACTTTCACCTGTATAGCGCCTGACGCAAAGCCTGCAGCTGAAATCACACTTTATAAAGGTGAGTCACCCTTCACGTGTACACAATGTGACAGAGATGGTCAGCCTGACAGAATAGATACAAAGGGCAACAGACCTTTCTGAAATCCCACATCCTGGGCTCTCCATAGGTCAAAACCTGAATATTTAAACATGAAAACATTGCCGAGGATGAAATGAAAGTTCAGTAAAGATTGCTTGTTTCATAGTCTTCGAGCAGCAGATTTGAAATGAGCAGACTCTGTGTGGGAGGAAATAGCCTGAGCATTTGAATTTCCAATTTCCACCGACTTTACAATTGCGTGTACTGTGAATGCATCACAAGTTCCAAGTTGTTTACAAAAACAAACTGCAATTTCCTCATTTTCCTTTTTTTTTTTGCCTTGTGCCGACCAGTCACACCTATTATACTGTATGTTTGTGAAGTAGAGAAGAGGAGATGTTGTACTCTTTGTCCTGGTGTCAATTTGTCTTCAGGTTTGAGATATACAGAATACGCTTGTTAAAATGTGCATCTTTATTTTGTTGAGCAAGTCGTGATTTTGTTGTGGTGGTATGTTATCTCAGCACTGATTTGATATCATTTGAAAAGCAGCTGTAGAAGAAGGACACAACCAAACATAGACATATTTATCGTATTCCTGTATTTACCATTCCATGTCAGAATAACGCTGATGTTATTGTTTCACCTGTACACATTTACACTTTGTATTCTCCCTTTTTTTTTTTTTTGGTGCCTTCCCCCCATTGTGTCTTTCAGATGGAGTCAAGCTGACAGGTGCAGAGTCGTTCACTGTGTCTGGCTCAAAGGATAAGCTCCTGAACACGCATGCTGAAGTAACGTATGTGTTCGCCCGCCTGCCAGACTCATTCTCCTCACCCAACCAGCTCAATCTCTCCAAGTCTGTCTTTGTTACTTGTTTCCCTTGTTTTCACCCCACTCTTATTTTCTCCCTCTGTCTTGGTGAGCACAATGAATTTCGGCACACAGCGAACTGTTACTTGGCACTGTGCGATTGAATTAGCTTCTGTCAAATGCACAAAATTACATTCCAGTAGCGAGACCGATCGGATCCTCGCCGGTTTGCCAGGTGCCTATATATTAAACAGGGCCATAGATTACTTTAATCCTGCTTGTCTCCACTGTGTCAAAGATAATAACCCCTTGTCATATCCTGAGATAACACTGGTACTGAGGAGCTGCAACATTGTTCAGCTCTATTGCAGAGCAGCCAAGGTCTTAAGCAATATTGATGCTTCTTCCTCATATTCACACTGAGCGTACACAGCAGTGGGCCGTGTGTGATTGTAACGGTTGACATTGTGCTGTAATTTGATATAGAAGACAAACTGAAAGGCTCAGAATAAATTTACTACATTGCAGGGACTAGTGGATCTTTCTATGATCATTATGTAGAGCTTTTCTTGAATTATTGTCAAATGGCCCATGCAAGTGACCTGACACAGTGATGGAGGGCAATTAGATACATTTGCTCAAGTACTGTATGAGCAAGAAATTCACGTTCTTGTCTTGATATCCCCTGTAAAGAGTATTTTTTTAACGCTTACCAACTTCCTCAACAGACTCAGCCTGGTGACTTTATACGACCTACAATAGCAATATTCTTTTAATGCCTCACAGTGTGCTGCTTTATTGAGCCTTTATTTACATTTTCCAAGGCAAAGTTTCACAGTGAGTGGTAGGTTAGCTTTATAAAGGAAAGCATTAGAAGGTTATTCTTTAGAGAACTCTACAAATGTATGTGCAGGACTAGATGAACAAAGAAACAAGATTCAGGACCTTGACCACAGGGTCCAATAAAAACAACACAAATGAAAGTACCGGTACTATATACTTCAACTCAACTAGGCTACTTTTACACTACATTTTTCATTCAGCTACATTAGCTTCTATTATTTCAAATTAAATTGGGTTTTAAGGTTTTGAAGGTTCCCCTTTAAAAAGACTAATTGTCTATTATGTGTTCCTGCTCTCATTGCAAATCGCTATAAGCTGTTTGCACTTCCACAAAGGACACGCTCCAATATTCTTGATGTTTATTGTAAAAAAAACTGTTCAAGGACTAGAGCAGGGGTGGGCAACTGGCGGCCCAGGGGTCACATGCGGCCCCCATCAACCCTCAATGTGGCCCTCAGGTCAATTTTTTACATATCAATTAATTGGAAACATGAAGAAAACATGACAAAATCTGCTATGAAATAATGAAAACCAGAAGTATGTCCATAATAATATTTGATCACTGGTATATGTTGAGTTATATTTGAGACATAATTGACTGTAATCGTTTTTGTATTCTACAATTTGGCCCCCTGGCAGTGAGAGTTAAATGAATGTGCTGTGACCGAAGTTGCCCATCCCTGGACTAGAGGGTAAGTCAAAAAATATGCTATTGATCTTTATGGCAGTGCAGTAGCAGCTAGCCTGAATTGTCTTTAAAGTAGTTGAAGTTAAGATCAATATGATTAGATCGTAGCGGTGGTTGACGTGTAGCTGGAGTTAGCTAGCAGCAGCTTAGAGTTAGCTTAGCCGGAGCTACAGGTTAGCCTTAGAGAGGTGACAGAAGAATTGGGAATACCACTCTCTGACTTAATTCTATGGTGTAATAATGACAATCCAACTTGACAGATTTTAGTATGAATTTTCTACTCGTACTAAAACAGTAAAACAGTGAAGAGAAGGGAAGTCTGTGGGCTACAGTAAGAGAAGCATGTCACATGTGTCACTCTCTTTGTGTATATCACAACTTAAAATAGGCAGACATCTCCTTTTGGAACTTTACGCAATTACAATTTTAACAAATTCAACAGATTCTTTCCAAGCCCAACACAGTTTCGGCAGATGGCCATTCAACATGAGTCTGTTTTTTTTCCAAATTTCTACCACTTAAAGGAAGTTTTTCCTTGCCAATGTAACAGGCATTACGTCTTAAGACATTCATTTTGTTTCCTCAACAGCGCAATATTGCCTTAAAGCGTTGCGAAATTGCAAGAGCGCACAGCACAAAGGTACAGAGGTAGCTCCACATACACACACAGTCAGACATGCACATACACAGCGTTGCACTCCCCTGCTGGCTCCTCTGATCCCGTCTCGCCCCTGTGACGATTCTGTTGCTACCTCTGCAGGCGGTACAGAGGGATCACTTCGTCCCCCCATTAAGACTCCACGACATTTATATTGAAGGCAGAACATCATTTGGACATAAGTATCACACCTTGAAACGGCAGTCGGCTAGTGAGGCTTTATCCAGGAAAATGAAAACTGAGGCCTTCATGTAATACATTGCCTTGTCGGACACTGACTTCTTTGCATCGGTAACAGGCATCAAAGATAACTATCGAGATTTAGTCAATCATTTTGCTGATTCTCGTTTAAATTTGTAGGTCAGATGGAAGTGTATACATTTGATTACAGTCTGATTAATAACTAGCTATAAACTCCTCAAATGAGCTTTAAGTACGACTTTACCTGCTGGACTTTTAATATAACATATTGTTACTTTTATGTTAGTAAGTAAAGGAGCTAAACAATTCACTAACTAGACATAATGTGGTGTTTTGAGCCTTAGTACTTTATATGGCTCATGTCTTTCATCCTTCTTGTTTCTTCTGTCTTTCCGTTTCCTCTCACAGGGTCACCGCTCTGAGCTCTGACAACGGGAGGCAGCTGGCATGTCAGGCAGGGAACCCCGCCCTTTTCCGGCCCGTGGAGACCACGGTGACCATGAGCGTGTACTGTGAGTGTCTCAGCCTGTTTCAGAACTGACAGTCAACACACCGGCTGTTTGAAAAACACCTCTGTGTTCAAACACACTCAACCACAAAGGAACCAAACCTTGGGCCCAAGGGTATCCGGCCTTGTGAACTCAGTCTGTGTTAGCGGCCCAAGGAGAAACATTCAACCTGAAGGCAAACTCACACCTACTTGTAGACAACACGAGTGTGGCTGCCTCCAGTTCACAAGGCTGACTCTGGTGGGCTGAGATTGATATGACTAAAGAAGGACGCTGTTTTCTTACTGTAAAACTACATAGCATTGTCCGCAGTAGTGAGTGTATAATAGAATCATACACAAACTCTTGCAATTCATTTTAAAATAGTTTGACTCAGATTCATTGTTTTATTCAGTAATCTTACAATAATTTGCACCCTAAGTCTTATTTCCCTGATGTTAAAGAAAACACACCCTTCATTAGACCAACAGAGATGGATTATCATCCTCAGCAAGGCTTCAAGTGCTGATTAATTTTTTAGCAATATTATAATAACTAATAAAAGAAGCTATGGCCACCTCAGTTAATAATGATGAATCTTGCAAAACTAAACCCAGCAACTTTTGTGCTCATCAGCTCAAATTAAATTTAGAATCCACTGAGGCAGGAGGGGCGGTAGTGTCTGTTGCTTTTTTCTTGTCTTTTATTATCACAAACCACATGACTTTATATAATACAACTGTTTCTGTGGCATACAAAGATGCACTGACTAACTCTCGATGCATTTGCCATTTTCTTTCCCCTTTTTTGCGACGCAACTGTGAAAGTCCTTTTTTTTTTAATGCACAAACAGTATGAAACTGCAGCTACTGTTTACCACAGTCGGTTTAGTATTTTCTACAGTGTTGATCAGTAAAAGTAATTGATTGTTTCAGGCGGAGAGTCTTCCCACCTGCTTCTCCCAGGCTTAAATCATGCTGTTGATTAAAGTGGAGCAGGGCTGCTGACACATTTAGCAGCAAGCGCTCCCTCCAGATCAGCTGCCGTATTATCCACAGGCTGACTAGACACCTAAATGTTGCCGCTATCTATACTCCTCCGCTGCTGCTGTTTTAACAGTCACCAATAACTGTGAGCTCTAATCCCTTTTCCTCTCTACCTCTGTCTTCTGTATTAAACAACATGGGCTCTGTGCTGAGTGCTAATGTTGCAGAACTCAGGACCACCGCTGCAGTCTTACTCAGCATGCAAGCCTATCAAAGCCAGCGCGGTGGCCATTTTCAGCCAGCCAGATTGTTAGCAAGGTGGCAATTTGTCACACTGGCCCAGGGTCTGCAGCCTGCTCTCTGAAACTGATTGCAGCAATAACAAAGGCCTGCTCCTCCTCTATTTACTGCATGTATTTAATGCAAAGAGGCTCAAATTTATTCACATTTCACATTGCCTTATTACTGTTTGAACATCTGTTATTTTGCTTTATGAACTGCACCCAGCTCAGTGCTCCTTTAATGCTTAATGCTTTCATCAGATCTGAACCTCTTATCCCACAGTCGTGTTGAGTGTACCCAATTTACTGGCTCCATCTGAAAAAATAGTGATGCTACCTACTCAATTGCCCAGAGTGTTCTCATTGCAGTGCTGTTTCTCTTTTATGTTATCCAATTGATGGTCATTCTGTCTCCCTGTCTTACCGCTATCCCTTCTCTTCCCTCACCTCTTTCTCTTCCCCTTTGTAAGAGTCCGTTTTTATTTTTGTCTCCCATTTCCCGGCAGTCCCACCTCAGCCTCCAGCCATTGTAGGTCTGTCGAGAGAGGAAGTCAAAGCGGGGAGAACGCTCATGCTGGAGTGTGTGTCTCATGGTGGAAACCCCCTAGCCAATCTCCACTGGACCAAGGTAAAATCTTCTGCACCATCTGTTAAGGAGGCTTTGTAGAACACTATCACACTGAAAAGTCTATTTTAGTTTGAGGACTTGCAGTGTAAGTGTCCCACTGTTTTAAGCTTATGTACTTCATTGCCTGCACCATATGGGACCGTGCAACTATTTAGACATTCTCTTGACGTTGCTTTTTTTTTTTTTAAGAAGATACAAAAGTTCATCTGTTTGTTAGAATGGGGAAGTTTTGTCCACGACTTGGGAGGAGGATTTCGTTGCACGAAAGTCCAGCAGTTTCCTGAACCTGAAGATCGGCCCCGTGGATAACCAGGCTGTTCTGTGCTGTGAGAGCGTCAATCTTGTTTCCCTATCGCCCCTGTCTGTCAGCCGTAGAATCACTGTGCTATGTGAGTGAAAATAAAGCTTAATACAGTGCACAGCTCTGGAAAACACACACACACACACACACACACACACACACACACACACACACACACACACACACACACACACACACACACACACACACAAAGCCCTGGCAGGTCTGGCAGCACTGGATTATTAAGAATATGGACATGATGCAGAGGAATATAATAAGAGTCTTACCTCTAAAACCAATTCTTTTGCTGTCCCAGCATATTTTCCAATGCTAATATCATTAATGAAACTAATGGTTATTATGGCTGCGGCCCATATTTCCAACCGCCTCCAGATTAAAATCGTTGCATGCTCTTTCATAGCTGCTACACTTATTCAGCTGAATTGCTTCAATGCACAATCCTGAGGCGGTTAAGCCTTCACTCTGTGCGACTGTAACGCCCATGGTTAATAGATTATACTCTTCTCTCTGAATTTAAAATGTTTGTTTCAGCAACAATAAAACAAATACAGAATTAATATTCAGCAGCTGTGGAGCGTTGAGTCTAACAATAGCCTGATTTCCACTACAGAGCCAGACAATGTAAGTCAGAGCTTTAAATGCTGCAGGATTGGCACACCTATTTTATGCAAATATTCTCTGAATTAGGACAGGTCCTTGCAGAAATTTCTCGCTGATATAGAGGTGGCTGAAGATGCTCTTGTGCCCCCTCTTCTCCGCCCAAAGCCCCAAACAGGCCCCGGTGCCTTGCCTTCCAGTCATCCATTCAAGGATGTTGAAATGGCACTGCTGACTGTCTGACAGTGCTCTATGGTCTGGTAGAGGCTTGAGGGCACAGAATACATCTCACTGGTGTAATATGAATCTGCCTTTTTTTACCTAAAGGCACCAGTGTAATTTCAACATTCTTTGTGTGTGACATGCATGAATTCATCCTCTTCTGTGTCTCATGAGGGACAGACACAAAAACGTATAACATTTACATACATGACCCCTCCTTCCACATGTCTGCCAGCTCGATCCCCAGTCTTTGTATCCCCCGGAAGGCTTTATGCGGCTGCGTCACTTCGCCCGCAGCTATTGTACCCCATCTCCCCCCTGTGGTTAACACGAGGCAGACTTTTGAAACCACGTTGAAAACCTCCAGAGAAAACAAGTTGCCACTCAAAGTGATTTTCCTTCACACTCTGTGTTTCACATCCAGAAATAGTTACGCTGCCACTCTGATCAGAATAGGTAGCTGTTGAATGAACTATTCTTGGGTTGATATATTTTACTGACTTGTCTTTTCTCCGTTACCCCCCCCCCCCTGTGTCTGTGTACATCAGTTGAGCCCACAGAGGTGACACTGTTGGGTTCCTCCACAGCCATAGAGGGGCAGGTCTTGAGTCTGTGCTGCATCGCATCATCTAGTAATCCCCCTGTGCAGATCCGCTGGTGGCTGGGCTACAAAGAGCTCAACACTACTTCTGTCACCGTGGAGGAGGTGAGACTGCGTGGCATATTATTACTGCAGCATAAAGTTTAAATCTATCTATCTAAGCAGGTGGATAAAAACTTTGTCAGCGATACAGAGTGCACAAAAAGTTAGAATTTGGGATCATGCTGGTCAGTTTTTAGAGTCTGCAGAAAAGGTTATATATTTGCCTCTTCTGTTGAAACCCTGAAAAAGGCATGAAAGATCAAGTGTAAAAGCTTTGCCCTGAAGTCAAGCTTGTCTTCTGGGAAGCAACAAAAAACTTTAAAATGCCTGCCATCAAATTAAAATAAACTCCAATATGAAATGTGACCTTATGTGAACCTTTCGGAGATGAAAGAAAACAAAACACATGACCATGAGCAGCCTCTGAATAGGCCTGCTGCTGCTTTTTTTTTTTTTTGCAAATGAATTAGCAGCTGATTCCAAAAAGAGTATTCTGCTGCTCTTCTCCTCTTTTGTGTTTGTTAATAAGATCAAAGTGAATAAAAGCTGACACAGAAGATGAGCGTTATTAAACAAGCTCTTTATTCATCTGGCAGCAGCGTTTTCATTTGATCTTACACGAGGCACTCGCCATGCTGTGTGTGCGCTTTAATGCATCAGAAACAGTGTGAGGTTAATGAAGACTGACGCTCCTGTCCACTGTCTTTGTTAGTCTTTCTGACTGCAGCTTTTACAGTAATCACCACAATAATGGCTTTAATAACCAGATGTGCTGCATAGGCATGACCACTATCAGGCAGGTGCAAAATGATGCTTTGCTCAATTTATAACAGAGAGTCAGATGAATATGCTGATTTATCACAGACCATGCACGACATCAGTTATTACAGCAGCTAATTTGCCATCTGTATTCACCGAGACTAACCAGCGTAGGGTTTTTATCTCCCCCTCTCTCTGTCTTCTTGGACCACAAACGTCTGTCCCCGAACTGGACTGATATGTGTGCTTTCTGTCTGCAGGGAGACCATGGTGGGATGACAACCATGTCTAACATGACTCACCAGGTCTCCAGGGAGGAGGATGGGCTCAAACTCACCTGTGAGGCTTTCAACAAGGGCACACACTTCTCCAAGACCCAGGTCACCACAGTCAGTGTCTATTGTGAGTGAGCTCCAATCTCGTTTCTTGAAACTTTTGTATTATCTAATAACACAACCTGCATCTATGATAAACATGGAGAAGAGAATTATATTCAGTTCTTTTATCACATTAATCATTCTTCAGGAGGAGTCAGCTGCAATTATAATGCTGTTAAGAAATGCAAAAAGGCAATAGCTCTTAACAAAAACAATCTTAAAAAAAAAAAAATTCCAGGTCTGCTTTTCCTTTTTTAAGCAAGTGACTATTCATTAAATACAAACTAAACAGCAGGTCTACTTAACATGCAGGAGACCTGTGTAGCCACCAACATTAACTTAATGCACATGTGTATAACCCATTTCAAATCCTTGATGGTCCTTTTTCAACAGACCCCCCTCAAAAGATTTGGCTAGATGCTCCACCTCAAGATGTCCCTCTTCGTTCAGGGACACAGTCCGTCTCACCTGCTTCGCGACTGGAGGGAATCCCACCGGATCTTTGACCTGGTTCAAGGTTAGTGTGTACTGTGTATGTTTTCTTATGTCTTTGTGTGTGTGTTTTTGTGTGTGTGTGGGTGGCAGGGGGGTGGTGGTGGGGTGGGGGGGGGGGGGTGTATACCTAAGCAAGTACAATTCTCAGAGTAATTTCTGTCCTTCATGTTTCAGGATGGAAAGGTTGTATCAGATGCACTGAGTCAGACGTCCTTTGATCGGGGTGTCGCTCGAGAGCTGGTTTTGGTCTTGACGGCCAGTGACAATATGGCTACCTACCGCTGTGACGCAAGAAATGAAGCAAAGGAGGCCATCTCTGCCTACACTAAGCTCATGGTTCAGTGTGAGTTAGACACCTCGAACTCATAATCACAGTCTGATTTTCATTCCACTTAACTGGAAGTCAACTAAAATGCAAAATATCAGCTAACTGAACTAATCGTTCATACAGATTCTCAGACACATCATACCCTTCCTCTTTACACTGTCTGTTGGTTTAAGATGATGTCTCCTGTTACACCGTTGTTCTCCAGTTCCAGCACTAAGTGTCACGATCACCATCAAACAAAAGGAGCTACGTCGGGGTCAACTGCTGAATCTGGAGTGTCAGTCTGGAAGCAGTAACCCACAGGCTAGCGTCTCCTGGAGCTTGGGCGCCCTCAGGTTTGGCATCACGTTATATGGAAGACCCATAGAAGGAAAACATACATTTTAAGGGGGCCCGTTTCCTTAAAAGCTTTTTATTGCTGATTTGTGGTCTGAATTACTGAAGTTTATCCTGTTAAATATGGCAATATGCATGAGTTCTTTGTGAACTAGAACTACAACCCCCCCTATTTACTGGATTTTGCTGACATGTGTCCCAGGTTCAAGGGAGAGGAGCAGCCGCCAAAGAAGGCTCAGTATGGTGGTGTGTCAGTGCGCAGTTCTCTATCCCTCAATCTGACTTCACAGCACCACAACCAGAGGATCATTTGCCAGGCTTACAGCTCCGTGCTAGCGGAGGGCCCTAACACATTCTTCAAACTTAATGTGCTTTGTAAGTAGAGCGGGAATTGTTTGTAAATGTTTTTTTTTTTTTCTTGGTTTCTTTTTTCCTTCTTTCTTCTTGGCGGCTGACCAAGCGATGTGGTTTGCATAAATCTTAAATGATGCGTAACGATGATCAATGATGGGGGCACATTGAAGCTGCTTTACTGGTGTACTTTTTGAACAGAAACGTCAGAGTATTGAATGTGAATGTGTGCGTGTATTCTGTTTACTGGAAACCTTTGTTGTGATTTGTGGGTCTGTTGAGCTCTGCGGCACTGTGTCCTAATTGTGCATTTGCTTTGCTGCATGGCCATGTTTGTCTTTGATGCCGTTTCACAGGCAGCAGCCAGCCCATGCTTCAAAGCTTTGTGCTGTGTACGAGCATGAAGGAATGTCACTGTGTGTTTGTATGGAGCTGCAGTTGGACAACAGCACTGTCACTCGTTGTTTTAATGCCTGTCCCTCTCCCTCCCGCGCTGTATTACTCGTTGTATCGTCGTATGTACCCGTTGTTGAAGTACGTGAAGTTGGTTGGATCTGGAATAATTGGTGGGATGTTGACTTTCTACTGGTTTGACTCTCATAAGTGTCTCTTACAGCTTTCATGCTCAACATGTTTTGTGTCTTTGTGATCTTCCTCACTGATTCTTGACATTCTATCGGCCTGAGTTTGTGTTTGCACTTCTGTTCATGTTTCCTTTTCTGGTGTTCATCCAACAAACTGCAGCTGTGTTCATGTGCTGCTTGTGTGTTAGACCCACCAGAGTTCAGCCCGGAGCAGCCAACGCAGGTCCAGGTGGTGGAGGACGACGTGGCAACCATCCCACTGCTGGTCTCAGCTAACCCCGAGGAGGTCTCCTGCATTTGGCTGCATCGCAGGGAGAAGCTGGTCAAAGGTGATCTGGGGCGATGTGATGGCTATATAAACCAGGTCCTAGTTGAGCTGAGCCAGCAAGTAAGCACTCAGCTCTGCCATTCAGGGCCTGAATAAAACATGGCAGGTTAGCCAGCATGGGACCCTGCCAAATGTGATTCTCATTATGGCTCTAATGTATGCAGTCTAAATGAGGATTGCTGTCTCTCTGAATACAACACAACGCTTCTAAAGCTGGCTTCTCCTCCAGGCCCATGTCATCAGGGTTCTGCTGCACCCACTCTCTTTCTCTCTAAGCTCCATCATACGCAGCCCCCACCATTAAACCACTGTGTACTTAATGCGGAAACCCACCTATTACATTTTGAGTGCTGTGGTACAGGAGGTGTCGCTCACACAGCCTATTGTTGGCTTGATGTGGGAATCCAGCCAGGCCAATCAATAATGCAGGATTAGATGTCACTTGGAGACCGGTGGCCAGAGGACATGCGGTTGATGAGCGTGTAATGAATACTTAATTTACCATTAGTTTGGATGCTTGTGTGTCTCTTTGTGTGTTTCCATGTTTTTGTAAAGAGGGGGACCTGCGCTTCCACTGGTCAGACGACAACTCGCTGGAGATTGAGAATGTGACGAGAAAAAATGCCGGAGTTTACACTGTAAGGTGCACAAATGATGAGGGTGTCAGCCAAATCTCCATCACGCTGGATGTTCAGTGTAAGAACCTGCAAACAGAGAACAGAGGAGCACATATACACAACCTAAAACCAACACTGATGTTAAGAATTGATCAGAAACACCGCTCAAGAGCTTTGTGTTGCATGGCTAAGGCTTTGTTCTCTATAATCATGAAAACAAAGTAAATTATATATTTGACCAAAAGTAAAAAAATTGAATAACAATATTGTAGATCAGACTCATTTAATTGGTGCCCAGTGAGACAAATTCAGCCCTTTAATGATCTCAATCTGGCTCTTTGATCATTTAGTGTAGAAGAACCTATTTTATTTAAACGATTGAACTTCATAGATTGTTTAACTGGGGTGGGGGGAATGAATAAAAATTATTTAAAATGCAACATTGTGTTTGTTCAAACAACAACACACGTCTACATCTTCTACAAGATTGAAAGACACATTGTTTAGAACAATGTAAATGCCTTTGTCTCTGCATTTCACAATTTGTCCACTTTTGGTGTATCTGAAAAAAAGAATCACCTAGGCTTCCCTAGACTATGTTATGTATTTTAAGGACTCATAGTTGATCATTTTTTCATGGGTTGTGTTTTTTTTTAACCTTTTAAAAGGATTTTGATCATTAACAATAGGACTAAATACATGTAACCCAGAGCACCTATCAGAGGACAAATGGAGTAACCAACAAATAAACACATAAATTAAGAATTATAAGATGGTTTATTTTAACAACCCCTTTATGATTTACTGTCAAAACATGTCACTTTTGCAGTTATACCTGCAGCTCAGGCCACATCATCTAAATCGGTAGGCTTCTAATACCACTTTTTTGTACTTATATAAATCTGGCTTGAAGTCAGAGCCATCAGTGCTTTCACACTCACTGTCACTCCCAAACACCAACATTGACTTTCAGCTCCTGCACAGCAAACATGCCTCATTCATTAGGCCTCCATACAAGGCCGAATACCCCAACAGCTGCCCCAGGCCCAGCCTGGAGCACCAGGCCTGCTGCTCCGATACTGATGATTTAATAATAGAAGTGTTGAAAATGTAGGTCTGCCCGTTCCTCTAAAGCCCATGGTACATGCCTAATGGATTCTGTCGTCCTGATCTGACTGGGCTTGACAGTTGTAGATATTCATTATGTATGGAGTATTGTAGTAGCTTTTATGGGTGGCGGTGTAGCCCACTTAACACTGTCGGTCTTGGTTAGCAGGCCATCATGGGTGGATCCCAGCGAACACCAGAGCTATGAGTCTCTGTAGTGTTTTCCACCACTGTTCTTCAAGTGTGAACATAGGTTTAGACAAGTAGGCACTAATGGCCTTAATGTTGCAAGTACATGGCACCCACGGGAAGAATAAAAAGCTTGTGAGGTAGAGGCTGATAAAAACAAAAAAAAGAGCAGTGCAGTCAGGAAGGAGAGATGATGTAATCAAGCGAGGGAGGGTTGGTCAGCCTGTAATAGTTCATTTGAGGATATGGGGGGGCCTTTTGGGTCACATGACCAATTCTTGGTTTGCAGAAGCATCTGTAATCCACAAACGTATAGACAAGTTAATGGCCTTGAATGTGAAACGCAGAGGCCAATTTAGAAAGGGTCATGAACAAGTTCAAAAACAAACAAGTTTCAAAGTAATTATATAGCAATGCAGCAAGGTTGTTTAATGGATTGGCAAATGATTTGACCCAGGTTGGCATGGTAACCTTTGGTCCTGCCTTAACCGCTTCCCGTTTTCTTGCTCTCAGATGCTCCCAGTGTTAAAGCAGAGAAAGACCCTGTGATCGTGAACCTTGGGGAAACAGCAGACCTGATATGTGTGGCAGATGCCAACCCCATTATTTCCGGCATGTTCTCTTGGAAATTCAGGGTGAGGACTTAAATATACACACACAAATACACACACACAAACAGGAACACAGCCATCTCCTGAATTATATTTCCTTTATCCGGCTCTTCCTTTCTATTATTTTACCCGTTCTTACCGTTTATCACTGGCCTTTCTAAATGCACAGACGCACCATATTTCACTGGCTCTAACTATCCTTCCACCCCACCTCTTCCTGCTCCACACTCAGCCCAAATCCAGAAAAATAGCTTTCATTACTGCTGCGTGACTAAAGGGCACATTTGTCAATGTGGCGTGGTCTCTGTATCTACTGATGCCTTCGCCGGTGTAACCCACCCCCCAGCAGTATTGTGTGTCCCACTTTCAACCAGCACTGCCCCCCTCCTTTTCCTCCTTTCCTCCCAGCTCTACAACCCATTGGCATTATCTTTGTTTGTCCTTAGAGCTCGTTCCACCAACTCCCTCCCGATCCCCACCTCAAGCCCTGATTGTTTCCTGCTTAGCTGTCTACCTGTCTTGCTCTCCGACAGCCCCCTCCCCCTTTCCCTCCTCAAGTCCTTACCATTAAAGAAGGGGGCTGTGAATTGAGGGATAGCTGCTGTCTGCCGCTTATCCCCCCTCACTCTGTCTTCCACAGGGGGAAGGGGAGGTAGAGACGGGAGAAGAGACCCAGGAAGACGAATCTGGCCTTTTGACCATCCATGATGTGACACGAGCTCATGCTGGTTTTTACCGGTGCACAGCTAATAACGGCATAGCCTCCCCTGCTGCTGTGGATGTGCAGCTGATAGTGCAATGTGAGTTAGTTGGATTTATACCATAGACTGTATAAAAATGGACGTAGTCACTGTGATATCACACATTGGTATCTAAAGAGACTTTATAAAACCCAACAATAGCCGTTGCCATAATGGAAATGCTATCTCCACCTAACTTTGGATCAGTCTAGTAACAGGCAGAGCTGGGCACACGACCATTAATCCATTAACAGTTAAATGTCATCAAAATTTTTTAAATTCATTTAAATTTTTTTTTTTTTTTTTTTTTTTTTACTTAAAAAAAAATATTTTTGGAACAGTTAACTAAATTTTACAGTTTGTTTCCGTTAACGTAATTATTTGGGCTGACACGTCTGTATCATGTAATGCCGGCCACGGAGAAGAGAGAAAGAAAATCCCGCTTCTTCTCAAGCTCTCATTGGCTATAGTAGTCTAGGAAGAGTGAATGGAAGGTCCTGAATGGTCAAAATTAGTTGTCAGCTGAAAGGTCAGAGAGCATGCAGTAGTGCAGCGTAAACAGCAGAAGACACAGACACATGTTATGAAGAGATTTCTGAGTCATTGTGCTCTCTTTAGAACTAGGATCTGTTGACATTTTAAAAAGCTGATGTTCATTTTACCTTCAGTTAAATATTAATGGAATGAACTCAGTACCTGATATTTTAGTTAAAATCTTTGTTAACGAATTGAAGGTAAACAGAGTTACATTATTAATTAACTGCCCACCTCTGGTAGCAGTCAAACAGTTGGAGTCAAAGAGGGCCTTAAGCCTTGTGTCAAACAGCAATAACCTGCCTGTGAGTCAAATTAGACATTCCCTTTATTATGCAAATGTGTGCAAAACTCTTGATTTTTAAACATGAGTTTTAAAAAGTTATGTCTTTTCAGTGTACAGTGTGTACAAATAAGGAAGTGAGATACAGTAATCAGACTGTAACTGTTTTTTGTACCAGGTCGTAAACATGTTTAATTCAGCTTAAAAATGGGCTTTCTAACACGGCTGTCAAAGGAGTTGGAGTAAGCTTCAAGTAGACAGTCGAGGAACGGCACTCTTTTTTTAGCACCTCTTCATTGGCTTCATTCTTCAAAACTGCAGGTTCCTGTTTGATTTATGCTTAGACATGCATGGAGAGTTACCTGTGGGAACATGCACTTGTTTTTCGTACTTGTCAATAAATACACATGTACTTTTACTGATGTGTTGTGTCTACTTTCTGCATGATTAACCTCCATGCCCATCTTGTCTCGTGTAGTCAAACCAGTGCTGCAGAAAGGAGCCCAGTGGAGGAAGGTAGCAAGCAGAGGTGACGGCACAACCACAGCTGAACTAGTGTGTCAGGCAGAAGGTATTCCACGGGTTGAATTCTCTTGGGAGAAAAATGGTGTACGCATGGATTTTGCTAATCCCAGGTCAGAAAAAAAAGGTTTTCCTAGTTTAAATTCCCTTTTGTTCCATGCTTTTTACAATAACTTTCAGTGCTACTGTCAGCATTTGGTTACAGATTGATGAATCCACACAATTAAATTAGGGTTTACCCCAATATAATATATTCTATTGCCATTTCCTGCTATTTCACCATTAAATCCAGATTAAGTGCATTTTATTCTCTGCTTCTCACTATGCAAATACCTGTTTAATGCTTCTTTGATGTGTGAAATTGGGTGACTTAGTGCGATCTGCAGGACATCACAATCCTTGCAGTCTCCTTGCTCAGGATTTATCTCTCTTTCTCTGTGTGTGTGTGTGTGTGTGTTTTCGTGTGCTAATGTGTGTTTGTGTGCCTATGTGTATGCTGCAGGTATGAGGAGCGGACTGTGAGGGAGGGCTTCTTCCACACCAGCACAGTTCTAGTCGTGAATGTGAGTGCGGCTCTGGACTATGCAGTCTTCAGCTGCACTGCTCACAACTCACTCGGGGAAGACAAGCTAGACATCCAGCTCGTCAGCACAAGTACTGTATCTATGTACAATTTTGTTGATTGTGTGTAGGGCTATGTTTCTCTGGCTGAGGATCTTTTTTATTTATTTATCTATACATGCTTTTTCAATGTCACTCAAAAAAATATGTGCGTCTCTGAAACTTAAACTCAAGACTTAAGTAGCAATGCAGTTTCTGATAAATCTGTGGGTGTTTTTATGATGCATTCTGCTTCAGATGTCTAAGTTTTCTTATTTAAAATAGGAATATTTGATCCTTAAGTTATCTCTGAAAACACCAAACTTGTTTCAAATGACATACAGCTCCAGACTCAGGCATGGAGGTCAGGTATTTTAGGGTTTTTTCCAAGCCCCTTACCTAAACTATTCATATCACATCTTCTGATATGTTCCTGACAAGATACTGGCATGGAGGCCGGCCTGTCCACCATCCAATGCCTGTAGGTCAGCAAGATGCCTGGCAGAGAAAATACACACAGCCAGCATCCTGGCCGGTGTCTAATCCACAAAAGTTTACCCTTGTGTTTCCCCGATGATAAGATACATGGAGAGATGGTTGGACTCGTCTGTCTGGTCAGGGTCATAGATGATGTTTATCCATCGGCTTCCTCCATGATATTTACATTTAAAAAACTTCATTGTAGAATAGTTTGACACGAAGGAGAGGTTACAGAGTAGTTCATGACCCATAGACACATCACTTTTGTGTCCAGTGTTATGAGCAAAAGCACATCAAAGATGAGCAAAAAGCATTTATAGTACAAAGCTACCAAGGCTAAAATAAAACTGAATGGATCAAGTGGCTGTTATGTCAACTTGTCTCTTATAATACCAAGCATCTGAATCTAAAGCTCTGCTTGCCCAGTCTGCAAAAAGAAAAAACACCAAAGTCAAGCCTCTTAGTGATGAATCACCCAGAATGAGCAAACTAAACCAGAACCACTTGATAAGTGTAGCTAGCCCCTTAGTGTCCATCTTTGCAAAGTGTGTGAGTAATTGCATGCTAAAGCAACACAATAAATCGTACAATCTTCTACTTTAGGCCCTTGTTCCCTCAGTATCTATTTGAGTCTTTCTACCCTCTAGTGGTAAACAAAACAAAAAACTAATGCAGCTTTAAATCAGTGGCAAATGATCAAAGTCAGTTGTTAGGGCACACAACATGTCGGGATTATGCATATCACGTACTTGGCAGTGGTGCACAAAATTTTCCTTTGGTTTAAATTTGGCAGCATCTCAGAATAATTGTGTCTGTGGTGCTTTGTCCAAGGTTTTATCAGCCTTTTACAGCAATGTAACAATAGTGTGGGAGTGCCATTGAACATGCAGGAAACTGGAGAGAGTTGTTGCTTCTGAGTGTCGGCCCTTTAAGGAACTTATTCCAGCGCTTTATCTCTACCTTATCATTTAGCCCTTAGCACTACTTCACTTCTCCCTTAGATAATGCTGCAGTGATACGCTTTGCTCTCTCCGGCGTGCTTAGACTTCTCTGCCTCAAAGTGTATCCTTCCACCACTATCAACACAGTTCAGCTCTCAGCAAAGGCCCACAGCCATCATTGGGCATATTAAATGTTTACTATAAAAAGCATAAAATACAATCCAATATTGGCCCTGTTTTTCCTCAGTTGTTTTTTTCAGCGCTGTGAATATTCATAATTAATCTGACGCAGTGATAATAAATTTTATATGCTTCCTTATCATTTGAGAGCCCAAGAGGAAGAGAGTTTTTTTTTCTCTGCTTGGTGCTTTTTGGATTTGGAGGAGACTAGATCCAAATAAGGCTGACCTCTTTGCCCCAGAATCTTATGACTGGAGCTGATAGTGGGAATTATTTACTCTGCAAACTGGGCTGCAGCCCGGAGCCAAAGACGAGAAGAGCATCCCCTTCTCATGTTGCTCCTCAAATATCTCTCCTCCTCCTCCTCCTCTCCTTCACTATCTCTCCCTCTGCCCCCAAAACCACCCTTCTTCTCCTTTTTTTCCATGCTCTAAATGCAAAATAATCCACTTTCCCTCCACTACCCTGACTGAAGAAGTGCCTCATGTCAGACTGAAGGCCTGGTTAGTCTGCTTTGATCTTTGTCCACAATATTGATAGTAATCAAAAGGCTTCTTCCTTCATTGCACGACTCTGGATGCGTAGATTGGACAAATTGCAACAATCAACCGGAGCTCTGCTCCGTCTGTGTTTTTTTGATCATTCATACAAACAACAAAGCTCAACCTTTAGAAAACACAGATCAAGAGTGATGCACTGTTAAAAAATGCAAAGCTCTTGCTGTCAAAACGATGTTCTGCGGAAGTCTGTGGAAACTGAGAGAATAGATCAACTGTGTAAAAACCTAGAGGCTGCAAGCTCATAGACAAGTTAGGACCATGTTGAACATTTGTCCTTCCTGTATTTTATTATTTCTCGTCAGCAGTTATGATCCTTTAATATCATTATATCTTCCAGTCTTAAAATACTGTAGTTCTTATAAATATGAGATCAGTGCCACAGCCTGAAATCATTAAGTTGGAGTAAATCTACTAAATGCTTTAAGTTCAACAGTAAATACTTGTCCTTTTGATACAGATATACCTTATGAGAATAATTGTGTTTACAACTCAACTGTGTGATCAATGGGAAAGTAAGAATATCTTCAATTGCTTTATTTCTATTTCTATCGAGTAGAACATCAGCTCTGCACTTACTTTTAGTCATATTGTATCTATTTATAACCACAGCAAGGCAAAGAGGCTGTAGGGAAGAAACAATCCTAAAGGACAACAGAACCTCGTGTGTTATTTTTTACTCTGCAGATACAAAAAAAAAAACGACTATCTCTTTTTCCCAGCACCTCGTTGCATTGTCAAATAGCCACCTGATGAGGAGCAGAATCTTAGTTTGTTTTTTTCTTCAGTTTACAATAACACACATGTCCTCCTTCCTTTCGAGTCCATTTACTTTTTCCACATTCTGTTTTTCACCCTCAGATCACCCAGATCCTCCTTCATTGTTTCGCCGAGTCAGTGTCACCCACGACTCAGTCACTCTGGAGTGGATCCCCGGCTTCAATGGCGGCTTGCGGCAGAGATTTCGTATAAGGTGAGACTTCAAGACAAGAACACTGGTTGAAGAATGACAGCCTTTAAAAATAAGACACTACTTGACAGCATTTGTTTTGGCTGACAGATATTGTTGGGATCGGTCTGCCAGCTTTCTGTACATGGACGTCTTTCCTCCCAGTGCTACCATCTTCACTGTCACTAACCTGCAGCCTGTCACCACCTATAACTTCTCTGTCAATGCCCTCAATGCAATGGGAGAGAGTGGCTATGCTGACAATAATGCAGTTCTGACCGTCACCACCAAGGGTCAGTTTGGAGTAACCCCTGCTTGACATTGAAATTAATCTACTGTGCAAACTTCACATAATCTAGAATAAATTAAATATTATGCTCAGTACGTTTTCCTCTTTTTTTTTTCTCTACAGAGAGGACAGAAGAAGAAAAACTTCCACCAGACGATGACTCAGTCTCACCAAGTAAGTCTTTTTATCACAACTCCCTGAAAAAGCTCTTAAGGGCAGTTGGAAATTGCTGTTTGCACAGCAGCTAGCTTCATTTGGCTAAATCATGTTAATGTATGCACCTCCAAGGCTGTTAATGTTTGCACTACGAGAGTAGTGGTTGTCATGGCAGCCACCCTTTACTTTTTCCCCTCTGCTAGTCTTTAATCAATAAAGACAATTGAGAGAGCGGTTAGGTCTGTCTCAGTCAGTTTTTATCTTTCCCAATTTCCATATTACTTAATCTTTAACTTTCATTGGTATGCATTGAGCTGATGTTTCTGCTGCTGTGTGAACCAGGTGCACGAGGACTGCCGGCCTACTTGACTGTAGTTTTCACAGTGGTGTTTGGAGTCCTGCTGGTCTTAAACTCATTGGGTTGCTACTTTGGATTGAGGTGGAAAAGGAGGCGAGGACAGACAGGTAACCGGAATAATCTCTCATCCATGTATGTGAAAGTATTTCTGCCATCACACTTTGTCACCGTAATGTCCTGATTTTTTAACTAAACCCTAAAAATGACTGACCCATGATGCAATTGTCAGCACAGACACTCACTCTCTTTTCTTTTCTTCTCTCCATGTCCTTTTTTCTATCCTGTCTCCTCTTCCACTGTTCATTCTTTAAGCCTCTACCTCCTGCCACATTCATCCTTCAAAGCTGTCACTTCTGTCTTTTATCCATATCTTTTATCTCATTTACAGGTTTGATGTCCTTCTTCTGTCTCTTCCTATTTGCCCTTCAGTTTGACTGTCAGGTTCTTCTTTGTCTATGTCTCTTTGTCTCTTTTTTTTTCTTCATTTCTCACCTTCCCCTCTTTATACAGATTTCAACAGCTTTCATTCTTACTCTCTGGCCCTTTTACTGCTCTGATCAATTTTGGCCCTCATGAGATGATTCGCCCCTCTTCAGTTCTAATTTCTTAACAGTAAGCCTCTTTCCTCCTGTTTCTGTCCCCCCCTGCAGGGGATGGAGGAGGCAGTGTGCTAGATGTGAAGAAGAATGAAGAAGAGGGGTAAGTTAAGACCCTGCAGTATAAGTAATAAAGGAACACACATCCAATCCACTCTAAGAAGTCTGAGGCCTGATCCATTGGCTGACCCAGCTACTAAAACAGCCAAGCAGGCAAAAGGAGCCTCAGTCAATATCCATTTATATTAGTGTCATCAAACTTCCAGCTGAACCCTGAAATACAACATATAATACATTATGAAGAACTCTTTTTTGCAGAGCAAATGTCATATTTGTGCCAAGTGTTTTATATTTTAGTTTTTTTTACATTTTTTTATATTGCAAAAAAACAAAGAATCCATTGGTGTGACTCCTTGATGACGGGCCGTTGCCCAAAAAAGTTGGTTTTCAGGTCTACATGAACAAGCTCGAGCAAAAAGGTATCTCAATTGTTTGGAAAAACATTTATTTGATTGTACAGGTTGATATTCTAAACTTTATTTTGAAGTTAATTGAGTTTGAGTTTAAGCAAAACCTTAAAACATGACTCTTTGGAGTTTTTTCTTGTGATTTAATGTCTAAAATGTGTAAATCAGATGAAATAATCTGATTTCTTCATGCAGGTCCAGTCAGTCAACTGTAAGCAACTCCAATAAATATGAGAGCAGAGAAAAGATCAACGCTGCTGCCCAGCGCACCCTCCTCATCGACTCTGGATCTGAAACGGAGAGCAATGTGTACGAGAGCTACGCAGCAGTGAGTACAGGAGACATAAGGAAGTTGGGGATTAGAAAGACAAAAAACAATATTAGAGGAAATCTGCACAGAAGCCGGGAAGGCAGGGTAAACAGATGAGTGGAGAAAGGAGGTTAGACAAGGGCTAAAGGGATCTGACAGAAAAGGAAGCGGAGAATTCAGCTAGAACAAGGAAAATGGATAGATAAACTAATGAAACCTTGAGCTGTGCATAGAGATGGAACACCAATCAATACCTCACTGTTAGCATTCGAAGTACACATCGATCCCAGCGAAATCATAATTTTGTTGTTAAAACAGGCCGACGAGGAATTGGACCTTAAAGAAAACTGTTGAGTGAGTCAGAAAGAAACAGAAACAGCTCTGTGCTGTCAGGATGTGGTATAATGAAAACTCTAATCCCCACAGAGGCAGGCTTTATCTCTCCCCTGATTTAAAATACCAAATACCTGAAAGGCTTGGTTCAGGAAAATTACCCCAGAAATATATTTCTCATTTACCTGTGGTGATATTTAGCCTTGGGTGGTAAGAGTATTTTTGGTTGTATTTGCTCCAAATATCTGCCCTTGAGATTTCTGCCTATGCTGGAAAATAATGAGGGTGGTCCTAACAGTATTGAAAATAGCAACGTATCCCATTACTGTAAATATTCCACAGACTTCCCTTTCCATAAAGGACTGTATTTTATGTCTTCTTAAAATTATCACAAGCAGGTCTTTCACCTGTGATCTGTTTGAGAGGTGCAGGAATCCCTCTAAACTCTTCACAAATTTGATTTATGAAGCAGAGAAATTCAAGCCAAACTTAAATAAATGGTTGAATTTTCTAGAGAAGTGACTCCTAAAGCGTCAATCGCACCCTCCTGGTGGACCCTAAAGGTACTTTAGATTGGGCCGCAAAAGGTCATTTACAAACAATTCACAACAAATGTGTATCTTTTACAGTAAATCTCCTGTTTTCATGTCTGAAATCGCTGCTGCAGGTCAGCCTGACGCCTAAACAGTCTTTTTTCAACACAACTCCCACAGAAAAGAAAGCATGACAAGATTTTTGTACAAAACAAAACAAATGAAATTCTTACACATGTACAGCTCAGCAATGACCTCTTTCTCCGTAGGGGTCGCCCAAAATGGACACAGACTAAAAGTTCCTCAAAGGAGCTTTAACTTTAACAAATTATTATTTGCACACATGTTGTTGCTTAGAAATGTTAACTATGTAAAAGTAACCTTTGGCCCACTTCACATAGACTTTTCTGTTAATGTCATCAAAGTATATTGGAAACTACTACATCTCATCAGAGTTGGTGATCATAGTTGGATGGTTATAGGATTGGGTGTGTCCCAGAATATTTTAGGATCTGCCTGTAGAATTCTTAGATTTGGGAGTGGTTTTCCTAGAAGTAAGTTAAAAAAAAGTGAAACTTCTAAAAATTACCTGCAACCTCCTGCACAGAAATGTCAGACATGTGATAAAGTCATTTTCATGACACTGATCAGATACTGTCGCCTTTGTTCTTGAATTTCAGGAAAGTGCCCATTATTATTATTACCCCGCTGGTGACTACAGGCCGCCTCTCAGTCCTCACACAGAGGAAACACGTAGGCTTGGTAAGACACAAAAACACTTAAGAGTAAACAAGGTTATAGTGCACAAGCTCATGATGCAGTTTGGGCCAATCTATCAATCAGCTCTATCTGTCCTTGTTTGAACATGTGGTAAACAACTTGGGGCAACGGGAATATTTTCTTATTTACAAAGTTGACTAAGTGCTTTGACAGAAAATGAAGATGCAGAAATCCAAATATAACAATAGAAACCCAAACAATAGGCAAACAGACGAAGTACAGCACAAAGGTTACAGTTAACATTAAGTTAAAGCAAGATGATATTGACATCTTCAATCTTGATTCATTATTTAATGACTTAATTAGTAAATATTCACGCACATTTTATTGTGAATTACAGCATATTTATTTGTCGTTTTATTACACTTTTTGTGTTTTTGTGTTTCCCTTCACTCTTTAAGATGTTACCCACCCTGACAATCAAAGCCATTTGTATGAAGAAGTAAGAGACACGGGTCTGTACCAGGAAGTCCTGGCTTCCTCTCCTCCTTCCCATCAATCCTTATTTGACCACAGACTTCCCTACCAAAGAAACGAGTGGCGACCCCCCACCTACCCTCAGGTCTGTTAGGCAAAGATGTTTTTTTAACTTAAAACATATCTGAAAAAAAGTGGGATCGTCTTATAAGTGAGGTCTAGACTTTGAAAATGCCACATGAATAGACGGAGCCACCTATCTGTATAGTGATTGTACCCACACATGACGGACCCCAGCTGTCATTCTCAGCTGCAGTGCCAGGGGGAGACACGGTGATCGTCTGGAACAAACTGGCTCAAAAGAGGGTCAAGTTAACCAACAACTGAGTTGGAGTCATGGTGCCAATTTTAAGATAATGGTTTTCAATGCAGCAGAGTCATTAAAAAACTGTCAGGCAGCCAAGAAATATCATGTTAATCAGAGTAATATCTGAAAATTGTGGGCCTAAAAAAAGAAGAGAAATCCATGATTCTGAAGTCTACTAGAAATGACTGAATGATGAATTTAATCAAACTAAATGTGACAATTCAATCTAAAGATATTTTAAAAAAAACTTGTATGAAATCACCGCTATGATCTCAGTGCACGTAATTAAATGTCTGCATTATGTTTTCTGTTCCCAGGATGTTATTTTCCGCTTTTTTGTTGACATTGTGATTCCGCTAAACTTCGCATAGCATTGATTTTAAGGAAATGATTCTCATTATAGTATCGTATAGCGAACTCTGTTGTTTTGTCCGACACCTTCGCGTTGTTCTTTTTGCTGCATATGTGAACAGCCAGGTCAGGAGAACTTTAGGAGCAGTCCTCCTCAAATGATCTAGATACTTCCAGGAGTGCATATGTGTAAACAACTTACGATTCATCTGTCCCTCAGCAGGGTGCCGAGAGAACGAGAGACTTCATGGATGTTCAGCGGCCGCAGAGAGACTCTGATCTTCCTTTTGATCTACGAGGTGAACTAGTGTAGAATGAGAAGGTCAGCATAAATAAACGCACTGTGACAGCACCAGTGACTCAACGCTAGTCACTGGGGACAGTGTTGTAAAGCAAACACTGAATATGGGGTTATTTAGAAAATGCAGTTAGTTAACTTGAAGGAAAGAAGGAGGTTGTTGATATCACTCAATATTGTCTCTCACTTTGAGCTCTGACTGTCTGTATAGTAAACATGAAACAGTGTTACTTAAAGGACTGAGCTGACCTGCAGAATGATTTTGTACATCAAAATAAAAGTGTGGAAGTGATTATTCTGAAAAAAAAAAGCCTCAGTATCTTTCATTAAAGACTGTCACAGAACGCTACAGTATGCTACTTCAGTTTAAACAGGCTGCTCCTTCCCCGCTGCCACCAGCTGTTTTTCTACTCCCTCTCAGATCTTACTTCATCCTCCTCCTCCCTTTGTCCATGCTTTGTTCCTTCACCTTTACCCTCTTTCTTGGAGCCAAGTCATGGTCACTACCCACAGCCCCCTCCTTCTTTGTCCTGCAGGTAGACATGAATCACTCAGTTAGAGGCAAAGATGGACTGACATCGCTGTGGTTTGCACTGGGGCAGAGGAAGCACAGACTCGTGGTGCCACCCAAGCAGATATCATCCCTTTTTGACCCCTTCAATGTCAATGTGTTTTCAACATGTAACCAGTTGAGTACCTGACAGCAGTGTCCTGTTCCTCCCCTGTGTTATACAAAGAGTTTCAGACCTCACAGTGAGTCCGTGAGAATCCCTACAATGGGATTGTACTGAGTGGTATTTAGCACCGGTTATGTCTCCAGGAGGTAAAGCCATATCTAGGGCCTGACTCTAATCCTGTTTTCTCTCGGATTGAAGTTCAGCTCACAGCATCAGTGAGAGAGAGGAACCATGGAGGGAATTTGTCTCACTGAGGGTGGACAGTCTAAGATAGAGAAGGGAAGAGAGGGGTTAGGCTAAGCTGCAACTGTGGCTACAGCAACATAAAAATCCACTCAATTTTCTTGGGTTTTCACTTTGGAACAAATTGTAGAGGCAGGAAAACCAGACTTTTCAAAACTGAAGTTGCTATTCACAAACATCAAATTTATATCCACAGATTATGAAATGAGGGGGGAGGGGAGGGCAATGAAATAGTTTGTTTACTTTTTCGGTTTATTAGATAGGACAGCTGCTGAAGAGAGACAGGAAATGCCGGGAGGAGAGAGAGAGGGATGACATGCCAAAAAGGGCTGAGGTCGGATTCGAACCCACAGCTGCAGCCCCCAACAACCGCCAGGCTAACCAGGCTAGCACCCCTGGATTAACTTTTTGAAAAAAATCACCAAAAGTCTAATAATATGTGATTCATGAATACAGAGAAAAAATTAACCTTAGTTTAAAGAAGACTAAAAGTCTGTAGCCATGCTAGCAGCTCTGTGAAGCACCGTAGTGTTTTAAGCTAAATGCTAACATCTGAATGCTAACATACATTTGGTGTAGGGTGACTTTATTTTTTTTTATAACTCCCGAACATATGGATGAGCTTAAACATTCACCATAGGCACTTTCATTCAGATGGATCAGAGTTATTTCAGTGCTTACAGTAGCAAAACGCTGAGTACACCTTTCAGCAACATGTACAGTGTGAATGAGCCACAGAAAGCTTGACCTCTTCAGAGAGACAACTTATTTGTTAGCATGCAGTACATGTTTTAACCGACCTGATGGTGGCGCTGGACAAAAAAAGTCAGATGTGCAAAAAAAAAAAGTCCGGAAGATTCACTCTGAGAGGGATTGAAATAATTTCACAAATTTAATCCACGCAATGGCTGCAAAAATATTTCAGTCTAGATTAGAGTAGTGCCACTGCCATACATAGAGCTGCATTAATAACAGGTAAAATCATTTTTTCAAGCCTTGTGTTCGTGGCCTGGTGAAACAAATGTAAAGAAACTAAACAGCAGATATAGTGGTATATATTAAAGACAAGTTTATGTGCAAATGAGCGGAAAACTATATTTCAAGAAGAGATATTTAAAACTCTTGACTCAGGCCACTGTGACTCAGTCATCTGTCCAACATTTAACATCTTTTCATTGGTTCATTTTAAGTTCTCCAATTGATCTGCCAGCTACAGTGTATACAGTACAGATGAGAAATAGATGGTTAGGATGTGTATTATACTAACGGGCAGTGTGCTCTATGTAATTGTGAAACTTTGTCTTTTGTTCTTTACCGTGCAGAGATCAGACAGTTCCTCAAATTTGTACGAACTAAAATTCTTTTAGGTTCCTTCATGGTGTACACAAACAGTAACTGGTCTCACACTGAGCCGCCATGCGTGCACATTGTTTCTGCGCCCAGCTTCTGTTTTCCCCTTTAGTACAATTCGTCACATCAGTCTCATCAGCACAAACACACACACACACACACACACACACACACACACACACAGATAGCTTAGTACAGTCAACACATACTGTACAAGACAACACTGAATAATCTTCATTTATTGTTCCTCTAGACTTTTATTTGATAAATAGAATCTGATCTGCTTCATGAGTGGTTGTCCAGCTGTACAACATAACTCCACTCTTTTTTTCCCCTATCATTTCCATGATATTATCTTTATTGAAATATTCCCATACAGATCATGATAGGTGATATTTAAATCTTGTCTAGTTTGTTTTTGTCAACACATTTTTCCAACCTACAAAATGTGTTTCCTCAATAAGGCCTGACTGCCTGGATGGAGATTAATCTCAGTGTTTCACAGAGCGGCGTTCCCTCAATTAGGCTCGCTATTCTCCATCATGAGCTGTCAAGGTATGTTTGTCTCATTACTGAACAGTTGTTTAAGTTCCTGTCAGGCTTACTGCTGTGTTCATAGCAAAAGCCTGTTCATGAAGCATCATTTGGGCTCAGGTGGGAACAGTAATCTGCAAAACTGAAGCCTTGACAGCTCAATACTGCGTGTCAACTTCTATTTTTCTTCCCCTCGTGAACATTTTGATATGTTGTGTTGGAAAGGATTCTCATGGGAGCTCAAACATACAAGCTGCATGAGTGCACAATTAAGTCAAAAGAGAAACAAATAAGAGACTTTAATTACCTCAGCTCCAGGAATGTTTGCACATTATCTGCCTGAATGTTGAGTTTAGTAGTTTTATTGTTTGAAAAACAGAAAAACAAATATAAAAGTGAATCATACTCCCTTGTCACTTTTAACAGGTCGTGCCACCTGTGGGGAGCTAACTCACATTTGTATTCAAACTTCTTCGAGCCCTGCCGTTGCTCTTATTATTCTGATTTTTTTTTAGATTGAACTAAATAGAAATCAAATAAAAGCTACCACAAGTTTCTGCAAATTAGAACATTGTTATACTGGCAGTTATTATGCTCTGCTCTCCTGTTGTCTGTAATGAGGAAGTAGTTTGCCCTCCGATGTGGATGAAAGACTACAACTAAAGAAATGACAAAAACAAAAAAGTCAGTCCATGAGAGATAATGATGAAGTAAAAACACTATTAGTTGTTCATTTTCATGAGGGCAGAGCTGAAAGACAATGAATACTAAAAAGAGCATGTGCCCCCCCCTACATAGAACATGATGTCTATGTATACAAGGGAGACTCCTTTTTAAATTTAAAAAGGTTAAACTTGAACCCGAGCCGCTCAATTACAATTACAACTATTTTTTATTATGAAAAAGTTATTTTCAATGCCGCTGAGACCAGTTCAGTGTTAGACCATGAAACACAGCAAAGGTTTACCACAGATATATTGCATTTAACTGTTGCATTTGCATTTAACTGAAAGAAGGCAGGAACGAGGAACCCACTACCTAACAAGTAAAGTACAAGATCAGGATAGCAATAAGACATACCCCTTTGACCACAGGGGGCGCCAAAACTGACTCAAAGGGAAAGTTCCTTACAGGAGTTTTAAAAAACTTTTAAAAAAATATATCAATTCAAGATAGCTTTTGGCGTTATGGAAAACAATTTAAATCCAGGCAAGCATTACTCTCCTGGTATCTTTTCCTACAGGTAAACAGTCACCACATTTGTGTTTTTTATTTTGTGTCTACATCTACATTTTTTTACTGGAGTCAAAGATATTATATTAAGATACAAGTCGATCATTATTAGTCACTCAAAATGTAACAGGTACTACCCCCATATTGATGAACGAAAGGATAAGATGCTTGACGGAATTATTTATATTTTAAAACCTCGTAAAATCTGAACATTTTACTTTCGTGAGTACCAAGTTGTTGTTTTTTTAAGGAAACCATAGAAATGTGAGTTACAACAGGCTGATCCAAAAGCATCCCAAGCACTCTGGACAAAGACTGTCCTCTTGACCCAGCTTGTAAGCATGAATTGCCGTCTTTGTCTGCTTTCACAGTCTGCGTTTGTGTTTCTGGGTTGTGTAATGCTGTTGGGTCACAATCACACACACACACACACACACACACACACACACACACACACACACACACACAACACACACAAATCAATCCTGCAACCTTGAATCAAAAGTTGAAAAATCTGATGAACAAAAATGTCAATTCAGCAGCCTGGCTATGTTTGCTTGGCTGCAAAAACGTTTTTCTGTCATCCTATAAAAAGGAAGAATTTTGAAGCAAAAACATAAAAGTTTGAAAGTGTACTCCTGATACAGTATTGCCTCTTTGGCTTTAAATACCAAGCGGTTTGGTATCTGAAGTGTCCACTACAGGCACACATATACTCAAACTACATCAATATCTGTTTTTAAAGGATAGTTAATAAAACACTTTGAAGGAAGTCATATCATTCAAACTTCCACCAGCATGTACTGCATTTTGTAGTGACAATAAACACTGCATATACATGACTTCTCATAACACACACGTCACTTATGTCTGGTGTGTAAGACAGCAGTATAGAAAAAGATTAAAGATGGATCCGAGGACAAAGATAGTAAGCTAGACAGGATGACAGACAGGCAAACACACAGGAACAATAAAAGATGGTAAACTGCGGGGGATAAAGACATAAAACAGTATGACGAGCCACCATGCTGAGAACTGCAGAAGCCAAAGAGCAAGAAGAAGGAGGAGGACATGTCATGAGAAAGAGTGGGTGAGTGAGAGACTGAAACAGTTCAGACAATTGAATGAGGAAGTAGAGGTTGTGAGCACATGGGTGTGGTTGTTTAGCCGTGACTCCATCAGCCTTTCAGATACAGGAAAGCAGCGAGGATGATGAGGATGAGGATGAATCTGTGGACTCCACACAGGATGGATACTAAGGTAAGTGTAATTGCCTAGAAAGGATGGATGGACTAAATATCAGAGGGGCTGAGGGGTGTTTTAGGTGAAAGGGAATGGAAAAAAAAAAAGATTGATGGAGGATGACAGACAAACGGATGAACAGACAGACAGAGAGTGAGTGAGAGTGCTAGATGTGACAAACGGGCAGGCGGGTCAGGCTAGAGGAAGGGGAGAGACGCCTGTACAGCCCAGGGGAAACAGGCCTCGTCTTGACATATGCTCTGGAGTGAAATGAAGATTGGCATGACCTGCTAATCTGAGCTGTCACAGCTCATGACGGCCACAGACGCTCACCTGTCACGCTGCTCCCAGCCCGGAGGACGAGCTGCCACCAGGATAGGTCAAAGATCTAGAATCATTTTGTGCTGAGGGACGATTCAAACTGAGCCACTGGCCCAGACTTCCATCTGTCACTCCACCCGCATCGGCTATACCTGCCTGCCAGTTGTTCTCTAGATTGTATTGCTATAAAATAACAATACACAACAGCGGACATGTTTTTGCCTGCTTTTGTTTGTCTATAATGTTTTGTTTCAAGCTAGGGGCGATATGTTGTGAGGGGGAGGAAAGAGCATGTTTTTCCACTGATTCAGAAAAGGCTGCTCACCAGTTCAGCATTTCCATTATGCAGAAAAAGAATTGTTTTGACACATCCGCCAATGCCGTTTTTTAATTGGTGACAGAAGCAAACTTGTGAAAAAATAAAGACAAAGTTTGATCAACAGTGCCATAAAGTTGAACACAGACACGTGTGGGAGGATTGCAGACACAATATGCGGCCTCGATCACTCATTTTTGACAAATGTATAAAAATAAAAAATAAAAGAAATGTTGGTTATGATGTGTGTATATCATACAGTTTGACATCTAAAGTAAGAAGCTGTTGTGTGTCATGCTGGATGAGGAGTGTGGGTGATGTTGTCTGTGCACTTTAGAAAGGAGAAGTAGCCATGTTGTGCCAAATAACAAACTACAACTTCCTCTGGTGGTGGTTTTTGGGCTGTACAAAATGTTCCAGAGTCAACGGTTCTTTGTGTCAATCCTCTTAGCTAACTTTAAATAATCATCAAGTGTATGTTTACCTTGTGTTCATGGCCTAGTTTTTAAACAAATTTAAAAACAACTCAACAGCACCTATAGTGGTATATATTAAAGACATGTTTGTGTGCAAATGAGCAGAAATTTTGCCTGGAAGTTTTGTATCAATTTTGTTCAAATTCTGTGCAGCAGATGCACATTTATATTTATTTGTGCACATTTATATGAACTGGCTTCATTTACTCAATCACTTGTCAAATCTGTATTTATTTATTTATGTATTGCATAGCTTAGATAAAGTAACTAACAGTACAAAACATAACACTAGTCTTGAAAAAAGACTATTGTGCGCACATCCATGCAAATTGCATATTGGTGCAGGACATAAAAGGTTTAAACTGCAGACAAAAGGGACAGGTCCGCACTGTATCTTAACCTCTAAACCACTATGTGACTGTGTTAAAAGTGCAAAAGTTATAATACTATTCTGGTTTGGACTACCTGCATTGTTTTGTCTCCTTCCAACTGAAAATGTTTTTTTTGTTTCTCTCAGAAGTATTTGGCTTCCTTAACCATTCTCCTGTTTGTAATGTTAAAAGGTAAGTTTCATAAAATCCTACTGGCACTGAATTGGCTCACGTGGAACTCACATTTGAATTGAAAACCCTAAAATTTTAAGGTTAAATTGTAGCTCAATGGTTGTTAACTTAGAGTAAAAAATCCTAAAGTCACGAAACTGCCTCACAATCTCACTTACACAGCTAAAGCTAATCTATATTAGCCTCCATTATCCCCTTTCAGCTACTGTGATGAACTAAGTAAGGCTGTAGCTGAAAAACTGCAGACTTTAGACAAACTATGCTATTTCATGTCTTATGTATTCATTTGTTAATTTCTCAAGAAATGATGTGTACACGTGTACACGTGTTTCATTTCTCAGTATGAGTAATTCTTGAATTATGAAATATGTGGAATTCCCCTTTAAATAGAAGAATTTCCATGTGTTAGAAAGAGCAATATGCTGAATTTGTATCAGTACCACATTAAAGTAACTTCTACCAAGCATACTTCGTGATTTAGGGACTTTGATCTCCACGCGTACATAAAGAAAAAGGTGTTAACACCTCTCACTCAGCTGCTGCATATTTCAGTGAATGTCCAGTGAACTCAATCTTAGTCCAGATAAGGGATTAGCTCACACTAAAACACCTTAGACCTCAACCATTGAGTGTATCTGCTGTAGATCATCACACCCTTTGTCAAGAGCCTTCAATGGGTTCATTAAAGTCGTGTTAGCCCAAGAAAGTGGAGGTTTGGTAGAGCTGCAGCATTAATTGGAAGGTGCTGAGTGAGTAAACAGACAACGGCCCCACTGTCCCGCAGACTTGCACAACAATCACGCTCTGTTGTAGCCAGAGGTTTCGTAAGAGCTGCTTCTTTGTAACTGTGCCGCACTGCCCCACTCACAGGACTGTTACTGTGACATGCTCTCAAAGCATCTGCAGGCCTCTCTCCCCTGCAAGGCCAAACACTTTCTCAAGGAATACATCACAGCATTGTTTGTGCGATTCACAGGAATACACAACACTGTCCTTTGTTCTTCCTCTAAAGTGGACTGTATCGAGGCCTCTCTTTGAGGCTCCATCTAAGTTGGTTCTTAGTGATTAAAATGTGTTTTTTCTTTCCTCTTGCAGTGACGAGGGCTCAGCCTTTCACACTGGCAGATCAAATGGGGTCTGTGAGCAGCAACACATCAACAATGCCCACTGAGCCCACTCCCACTGGTACAGTACATGTGGCTATTTTGAGAAATTTCACTTTGAAATCTCTCCTGTCTCTAGACTGGTTCAGTTTTAAAAGTAACTATTCATATTCAGAAATGCAAGGAGTTGTAAACTACTTTCATTTCAAACTTCATTAAACAATATTTAAGTATAAAAACATTGCAGACATGTTCCTCACAGAAATGTTGTACAAGGGAAATATTAATTCAACTGTACTTTTTGAAAATACATCTTTCATAGATGACTTTTGAGACGTATTGCCTCTATTGATAAAACTGCTAAACAGACAGGAAATTTGCGAGGAATGAACTGAGGGTAGACATGCATCGATGACTGTAACCTCTGTACATGAGGCACCTGTTCTACCAACTTGGCTAAACTGGCGCTTCAAAAAATGAAACATTCAAAAATCGAGGGTTGGGGCATACACGTTATTAATGTAAAGCTGAACAACTATAAGAATATGTAAAACAAGAAAACAAAATGTATTCCTCTTTTAAAAAGAGCTCCTCAAACAGTTTTGTTACTTTTGTCAGTTTTTATTAGTTTTAGCATTGATGTATTGTTTATTTTCACACTTAAACCGGATAAAATGGGCGACCTGTGGCACTGACAGCAGGGCTGGCATGATGTTTGTGGGTCCACGCACACAAATTAATTTAATAAATTAATGTCTAATTTGTAAAAATACATTTATTGGCAATTAAAACCATTTCAATTGAGACAATAGTGCAGCAGTTTTTGCTTTGACATTTTTATGTAAAAAGCTAAGTTTTTAGTATCAGCTGAAAGTGCCAACTACCGTTAGCATGTTCAAAACAGACAGAATAGTTGATTTGTACTCAAGTCCCGCCTATGATTAGGCAAATAGCCAATCATAGATTTAGATTTTGGGATGGCACCTGGGGTCAATCAGAATTCAAGGGGGGCCCATTACACTCCTGGCCACCCCTCTGGACACACCCCTGCAGGTCAATTGAAGGATGCCTTTTACCATATTACTTCTATGAATATGAATTTACAATACAGTATCAACAAGCTAACAATGAATTCTGAATTAAAGTTATCATGTTCAAAATGCATAAAGACTAACAGTGCCTAACACTTAATCTTAACATTGTGTTAATTGTACACCATATGTTCTCTTTTTCTGACTCTAATAATAAGTAGTTATATAGTTGTATAAATATATTTTTTTATAACTTCAAAAACAACTCTTGTGTTTAATATTCTGAGAGATACAGGTTTGTTGGCCTCTCTTTCTAGCAGGAGGAAGAGTGATCGGAAGATATACCAGAGACTCTGACTCAACCGTGGAAGTTTCGTCTGCTGAACAAACCACAACCATCAACGTCACACGCAACAGCAACATGACAGAAATCAAGACTTCATCAGGTAGTCTGGTTCTGTGAATGCTGTCAGTACAAAACATCATTTCAATTGAACTTCATGTGATTTATTAATGTTTCTGTTCCTGAAGCTCCAAGAGAGGGAACAACAAAACTACAAACTAAGGTCACGCCTACTAAAGGTAACTGTCTCGCCGTCTTCCACCCTACTTTTAGCTCCCAGTTGGTGGAGCAATTTAGTCTGGCTGGTTGATAGACTGTGTATATGGCCATAACTCAAACCAATATTAAAGGCTTACAGTTAGTGTCCTCACCAAGGATGCAGGAAGCTTTAAAGCTAATTATGAGGTAATTACAAAATGCTAAACTACCTGACATTGTGCAGATATACAGAGGAGTGTGTCTGCTGTACTTTCCAGCACAGGAGAAAGAGAGAGAGAAGAGAGAGAGTGCAGATAAGCCTTAAAAAATGTCAGCCAAAATTTCCTCTGAGAGTCATTCCACTGAAATACTCAGAAATTCAATTAAAATAGAGTTAACGAAAGGGATGCAGCTGGAATTTTATGAGAAGTAATTATGGATTGTCCTATGTGGCAAAGATAAGGACTCAATATTTCCCAGAAAAAAAAATGGTCCTAATATTTAAATCATGCATTTGTATTATAAATATCTGTATTATACATATATGAGTATCAAACATTTGATGAATGATTTCTTGTGATGAAATAAAGGTTGAATGAATAAGGACAGAAAATCCTGAAAATAAAAGAAACTAATGTTTTTTTCTCTGTTTTTTCAGCTTCCAGAGTGACAGCCTCCCCAACCGCAACTGAGAAAACCAAACGAGGTGAGAAACATTTGTACTATTCCATAGTTACCTTAAATGCCACAGGCGTTGCCGGTTTATTGTTATCTCGAGACAAACTGACAGAATCACAATCCCCTGTCTTCCATACAAAACCCTTGGCAGAGTGGTAGAACAGAGCATGTTGCTTCCCCTCTTTTGCGACAGATTAATGCTTGATTGTACCTTGTGCACGAGAAGATAAGAAATTTGTCCTCATGCTGTGCTGGCTCACCAAAGATATGGTTTTGATCAGCAGCATGTCAGAAAGGCCCGTAGATCTGTCATGCTATCTGTGACTGTTGTTCCCCCGTGGTCCCAGCTTCTTTTTTCTTCCTGTAGAGGCTTCCTGTGCTCAACAGTCAAACATAATTCAATAATTTTCTTCCTGCTTCTGCTTCTTGTAGATCCAAAGTGGGATCAAGATTTCACCTATGGTAAGAAGCTACACTGACAGTGTTTTTATATGCCATTATCAATTTGTTGTGTCTCCAGTTGATTTCAGTTTTATATGTTTAGATTACAAGTCCCTGCGCATTGCTGGACTGTCCATCGCAGCAGTGCTTTTTATCGTGGGCATCATGGTGATCTGCTGTAAGTATGACCCTTATAATAGGGTCCTACATTTGACCCTAACCCTAAACACTTTTGTTTTGTACAATGCTTTGTTCAACACTGTAATGTTTAACTGGCCTCCTCACTCAGATTTAGAGGCACTTTATTGTTTTCACAGGGAAATTAGAGTTGCAACATATAATTTAAAGCAACAATATGTCACTTTTCCATCTGTAAATAGTTGTTTCAAATGTTGATTTAATAGTACAAGAACTTTCAACAGGGAGTATGGCGTCTCTCACATGTCGACAGCGCGGCCCAATCGCCCGTTCACAGCAGTGTAATGTAATGTAACTTTAGCCGTGGGCCGAGGTCATCTCATGTACAGCTTTAAAGAACTAGTTCATACACATGCCAAAAAAGCATGTTAGCCTGTCTTTGTTCAGTTTGATATCATGGTTGGTGCTAAGAGGAAAAGGAGGTTGATGTGTGAAAATAAGAAGAGTGACAGAGCAAGAAGCAGAGTGTACATCCCTGCAGATATTATGCATAACCGATTGTGACACAACGTTGGGCTGTATCATTACTGGTGTCATCATTGTCTCAGGCTGAAGGCACTTACAGCATCATAGTTGCACAAAATGTGGTAATATTTGGCTACTGTACCTTGTCAGTCGACATGGTTGTTTCTTCTTCTTCTCAGAAGATTTTTGCAGGCTTCGACAACTTCTGCTTGTCAACAGATACATGTTCTCTAAGAGGGGCATAGGCGTGACTTCACTGTGTGTCTTACATGTGAGTGCAGTTGCACCCAGAGACCTTCGGTGGGTGCCAAAACGCACCAAACCAAATTACTACATATTATTGCGTTAAGTTGCAGAGAGAGAGAAGAGAGAAAGAGAGATACACATAATAAAATTCAGTTTAGATTTACATAGACATACATTTACTTTATTGATCCCAAACTGGGAAATTGTGGTGAAAAGACAATTAAAGCTCTCACTTAGCTCAAGTGCTTTAAAGTAAAAAATGCCTATAATGATATAACAGTGCTATGTTATTGGTTGTGCATGTAGGTCTGAAGAAAAACTGCACGTTAGCTTGAATAGTTAAAGCACATTGCACTCATATTAAGTGAACAGATTGAATAGTAGCAGTAATGGTTCTGTATTGCTCAACATGAAATAGTTGAGAAGGGTCAGATATGTATTCCTGATTGTGTCTGACTTGCAGCAGGAGAAGTTAAACTCTTTGCTCTTTTGTAGGTGGCAAAGTCTGTCGGCTACCCAAGTGTAAAACCAAGTCATCCAAGTAAGTTTATAAAGCTTTTTTTTTTTTTTATAATTCCAGTGAATGTTCTTTGCATATATGCATTGTTTTCGCAATGCATGATTAGCACACGGATGTTTAATTTAAAACAATGAAAGCTGACAAAGTGATGTTTGACTGAATCACAGTCCATGCTCATGAAGGTTAGCTGGGCTTATTTCATGCTGTTGACAAACTTCAGCTGAGTGAGTTGAGCAATTCATTGAATACAGGCTACTGGATGATGTATGGCAAACAATCAGTCACTTCAGACATATAATAGCTCAACAGAATGCTGACTAAAACCTCTGTGATGAATAATAAATCAAAAAGATTATTATGGCGCTATTTGTTGGCCGAAAGCATAACAGATCGACTGTAACCAACGCTGTGCTATATTTGTTTCTGATAAATAAAAATGTGATTTATTCTTTAATTTATTCTGTTTATTTTACAGGTCATATCGAGTGGTACAGGGATAAAGAGAGAGAGAGTGTGTGCACATTGATAAAAACACAGAGCTGCAAGGAAGCAACCAGGAGTCAAGAGAAAAACACTGGAGCAACACCTGGCTGTGTGTGCTCAAAGACTGTCAGCTGCTTAGATACAGTTTCAATCCATGCATCATACTGACGAGTGAGGAAAGTTGAGCCATCACCTGCTTTATCTTTGTCAAATGTTATTTCTGTACTTGGCAAAAGTTCACCAAAGAAGTCAAGTTATTATTTATCTTGGCAAATAATGAAGAGATGATTCATATTTTAATCACACCCTCAACTTAGAGGAAGGTTTGTTTCTACTCAACAGAGACAGTGTCCCACAGCCAAGCTTATTATTAAAGTTTATGAAGAACATTGTCTGATTTTGACTTGTTTGGCACAACACTCGAGTTTTGATATGTTTTGAAAAGTAAAACTGGGTTAGGTACTTTTCTTGATACATACTGTACGCTCTTTACACTTTCAATATCAACATAAAAACAACAAGTTTGGTAAGTGGTAACTAAGGCTGCATTCACACTGCAAACAGAAGTGACCTGAATTTGACTTTTTTGTGACTCAGATTTATTTTTTTTACAACAGTGTGAACAAGACATGTGATATTCAATCAGATCTTTTCAAACCAGATTTTGGCCACTTTCATACAAGGATTCACACCGGAGTCTGATACAGGCCACATTTAGAAGCAATGTGAACAGCCAAACAAACAAAAAAAAAATCAGATCTGAGCCAAAAATCACAATCTAGCATTATGACTTGGAATATGAATGAAACCCAAGCCTCTTTGTGACGTTATGCTTGTTAGTGAGTGTTAGTAAACCCCGAGATTAAACAAGATCCACTGGTGCATTATCATTACATCCAGATGGCTTTTAAATGATGCAGACCGGGAGAAAACATGCAAATTTTACAACAAATTTAATGACACAAATAACAATTCAGAGTTCAGCACACCTACATACTTAACAGCAGTATCCTAACATTTAAATTCAGGAGACAGCAAATGTGCAGACAGAATGGAATGCATGACATACAATGACCTTCTGCCATTGTTTTTCCTGTGAGAAGTACATTCATGTTTTAGACACTTTGTTAATAATTACATCATTACCACCACTCAATGTATTTGGAAAAAAAAGTATGAATTAGTCTGGATACACAACTGCACATAAACACAAGAACTTAACATAAGGTCCAAGCTTTTTTGTTTTGTATTTGCTGCAATTAGACGCAAAAATACGAAAATCTTATAGAAAATACAATTTTTGCAAATAACATGACTTCAGCCCGCCACATATTTGAACTGAGCAGAGGAGAGAAGACCTCACCCCTATAATTCAACAGTTATATAAAAAGAACATTTAGCCAAATGCATTAGTTTGACCATAACAAGTGACAAGGCACATGATAGCTCAGTACACATTTTAAACAACACATTATATATAACAAAAGAAATGAGGACAATTGGAAAAGGTCATGTATTGTTTTAAGGGCCGTGTCTCTAAAAGCCCAACACACTGTAACTTAATAATATATCTAAAACAGGATATTTTGACCAGTTTATGCAGCTTTAACAAAAAGAAAAACTTTGATGCAACAACAGAAAAGTATTTTTGTAATAACGGTTTGATTAATATGATGTTTTCTCTTTCCATGTGCTTTCTTAAGTTGAAGTGTGTTGAGCTTTTGGGGCCACCATACTTTAGCCTGGACAGAGACAAGAGTCAGCTAATTTTAAAGTGACAAATAAAATAACCATTGCAAATACTCTACTTTGAGGGGGGGGGGGGGGGGTAAAGGTTTAATTTGCTGCATTTACATTAGTAGTGTCAAAGCAGAAAGGGGTTACAGGAGGAAATACTTTTTTTAACTTGAGGCTGTACAGTAAGTATGACCTTAACACTAGGTTTTTCATTTTGACCCTAACTCAATACTTGGAGCTACACGAAACTAAAAACATTTTGGATTTTTCTGTGGACGATTGCACAACTTTGTTAACTTTCTGAATGGACAAAAAGTTTAAAAAAAAATACTCAGCTGCGTTTAAATGACCATGCACTGTGGTTTGTTTGCCTTTGAGAAACAGTATATATAGATAAATACAAAAAATAGTAGACAGGAAAGACTTAAAAAAACCTGAAATGTTTTGTACTGCAAATTTTGTTTAATTGTCCTCACTTTGAAATGCTGACGCACACTGAAGGATTACAAACTGTACACACAGTGCTCAAATAGAACAGTAAAAAACACAAACAATGACATGTGCTACTGAATTGTGCTAAATAAACTGGAATACATCTTTTTATAGACTTAAGCACTGACATATAACCACTGTGCACCCTGATGAAGACATGACTTCACAACTGCTTTTTGCTCTCAAGTCTATCTGGAAGGAAAGCCTGCCCACAGTGACAATATTAGCTGCAAGATTTAGTGGAAGAGCAAAGTGTGATTGTGCTATGACAAATCCAGTGTTTAACCCCATGTTACCATTCCCAGTGCTACTAACTCCATTATAAGTGCTGCTCAAAGAGCCACAAATGAAAAAACGGTCATGTCAAACAGGGGCATGTCCTCTTCCCCTTTCCCCATTACCACACAAACTTCCTCACTCTGCAACAAATAAAGCAACCGGTGCCTTTGGAGAGCTCTCTTCTATACAACATGATTGATTTCCATTGACATAAAAACAGAGAACCACCATGCTTTTAGAAATTAAACAAAAGGCATGTATTTTCTCAATCATCCCCAACACTTATTTTCATTCGTGAGATTTTATCCAGCTTCTTTCAAAGAGTGTCTGAGGCATTAATCTAACTCTCTACAGCATTCAGAAAGCTATTTACAATCTGCAAGACTTAAGTGAAAGCCTTTCAAAACGAAAAAGAGGGGGGGGGGAGAAAACATCATCACTCATGGCGGTCGATTAATTTGCTGCTTCGCCTAGAATATGTTCAAACTGGTTATTTCAACTCGATTCTTATTTTCCTGAGGTTCAGCAGAGGGGGAACAGGCTTTTTATCTTCTTATAACACTGCCTCCTGTCAGTCCTAATGGGCCAGGAACAGAAGATGTCAGACGAGTGAATAGGAGAATGAAGTGAGTACTGGGCTGGCTTAGTGTGTGGATTAGCATGATTTGTCTCACTCATCGACTGTTTCACACACAGGTCTGTTCCACTCGCACCAAATCAAACGCAAATTCACTGCATAGCTGGTGGGAATAATTTCTTGTTTCAGGTAGTAAAAGAAGGGGGAGCTGTGGCTGTGCTAAATTATCCCTTTTAACAAAAGAAGCTTTAAGCCATATTCACTGGCTTTGATTTGGATTCCTCAAATAGAATCCAATTAGAAGGTTTGAATGCTTTCCAAATGTCCCGGGCTAAACTGTGTATGTGGAGCAGAAACGGCAGGGACAGAGAAGTAAAGTATGCAAGAGTGAAACACATATTGCAAATGTACTCATAGGAGTTTGTGTAGGAGTAAAGAGTGAACTGGAATGGTAAGCAGGCATTTGTGCATAGAAGTCAAACTGTCCTGAGTCCAAGAGTAGGAGGTGACACAGCCCTGTGCTGTGCTCTTTTCTTGTTCATGAGTCATAGGACTGCTACTCCGCCAGGAACGGAACAGCTCTTTTCTGGTCCTGCTCTGTAGGCACGGAGTAGATACTGAAGAGAGAGAGGGAGGACAGGAAAAAGGAGAAGAGGGGAGGTGGTACGGGGGTACGGGGGTACGGGGGTACAGGGGTGAGACAGGGCAAAAGCAGAAGTATGTCATCTTCCAGATATTTTTAGGTTGTTTCTCAGTTTGTTCGCAGAAAGAGAATAGAAACATCCCCACATGTCTGAATCCAGGAAAAAGCATGTCTGCCTCATGCTGCGGGGCTCTGACAGGTGCACGGCGACTGCATCACCTCAAAACACAGCTCATCCCCAGGTGGGACTTATAAACATGGCAAGGCACTGTTGATCCAACAAGCTAGAGGTTGCTGTGTGATTAAGCCTCTTTTCAGCAGAGCGATCAGTCAGCACCAAACACTGCCAGAGTTGACTGCAGCCCCAGGAGGCAGCTGGTAATCCTGCAGAGGAATTTAACCCTCGCAGACTGTCTTGGGTGTCTGCTCCACAAAGGCAGTTCTGCTGCTGCTGCTCAGAGATCTCAGGGGACTAATTTGAACTCGGTAACCCCTCTGACCCAGTCTGCGGGTCGTGTAATACTGCACCCCAGAACAAATGAAAGTGATTACTGTGTAGAAAGCCTTCCTACAGCAACGTGAGGTTAATAAGCCAAGTGTGGTTGTAAAACTGGTTAAGGCTGTTCTGCCGTCTGATTGCTGCTGGCAGATAGTTGTCATGACGCCAGGATCATTGTTTACAGGATAGTGTTATTTCTGAGTAGAGTTGTGTATTCACGCCTCAGTTTATGAGGTAAGCTTTGGTACAGGCTGGGTCCTGTCGCGTTCCGTCATACAAACATAGTGGCTCTGTCTAACTGTCTTAAGGCTATTGTTTGATGTGGAGATAGAGTGGTTAGAGTTTGGGTGTATTCAGAGGTGCTGCTGGAGGGCCTCAGGCTGAGATACTAATTGCTCTACAAGTCCAGACAGGCTCAAATGGGTGGATACTGGTTGCGTTCTGTCACCCGGTTGTTTTTCTCTGGTTTTGCTTTTGAAGAGTTTGATGACGTAGAACAAATTGGGAAAGCAGCAGAAAAAGCTGTTACCCATTAGACTGGTTCTGTCACCTGCATGCTGACTTATCTTAAATCAGGCCATCTGTCAGACATAGATGCAGTGTGTACAGAGGACATATGACAATGATAAAAGTGTAGTTTTGTTTAATGTGAAAATAAGACTGCCCAAAAAGCTATTTATAGATTTTTAAAGGTCATCTTTAAATATAAACATAAAATCTAAGGAAATATTAACTTACCCTTGCTCCCGATATTGCATTTTGCGTCTTACTAACATTATAGCTGCAAGAAAAGACAAGAGAAAAGGTCACACAGCTACACAAGAGAAACATTTCCATATACTGAGGTATTAACAGCTTTAAGAGGCACACAGGGAAAACAGCGATTCAGGCCAACACTGAAAGGCATTACAGCCGTACATTTGTCAACTGTAAGAATGAAAGTCGGGCATCATTTCACTTATGATGACATTTGGTCAATTTGGCCTCAATACTTACTGACGATTGCTGCGACTGAAAGAGTCAACACGGTCACAGCTGTGATGACGATGATCAGGGTGAACTTATCTGAAGGAAACACAAAATGAAAGTATATTTAACAACAAGGGATAAATTATGAATCCATTTTTTAAATGGAATAAGACATTGAAACATCCACTGTTTACCA